TGCCCAGGAAACCACAAAGCAGTTTATTCCACTTCTATTTTTGCCCTGTCGTACTTTAGGTGTTTGTAATTGTTATATTATATAAGATTTGATCATCTCAGTAGATATAAATGAATGAAATCTTTCCAAATAGAGCTATTTAAATTAATTATATTCATATCACAATATATATTGCAGTAAAACAAAATATCACAATATCAGATTTTTCCCAAATCGTGCAGCCCTAGTTTTAAACTATCTTCATTTGTGTTCAACAAGATTAGTGTTAGTAAATGATGACCGAATTTAAATTGTGTAAACTATGCCTGTAATGTCATTTTAAAAATGTATTTGGACTTTAAATGGAAGGACTGAAGCCTTTCAGAAAAACTGTATGCGCTGCAATGGATAAATCATGGGTGCTGAATAAAATCTGAGTGAATTATCAATTTAAACCACCAAGAAATTACAACAGTCTGTTTATTATGTGATTATTTAATTTATATGTGAATCACTGAATTGTTCTCTTTACACATCTGTTGCCATGCATATGCATTTTAAAGGGATCCGTCACGCTAAAAGGATAAATACCTGATCATTTAGTCACCCTCATGTTGCATTTTCTGTCTTCTGTTGAACATGATAGGAGATATTTTGAAGAATGCTGCTTGCTTATACATCTATAGTAGGTAAACTATGTGTCCCAGCAATCAGCATTCTTCTAAATATCTTCTATCATGTTCAGCAGAAGAAAGAAACTCATAAAAGGTTTAAACCACATGAGGGTGAGTAAACGTTGAGGTAGTTAAAATTTTTGGGTGAACTATCCCTTTAACACACATTTACAATTTGTTGTATGTTTAATAAGGCAATGCAGTAGATTAGTGTGGATAAATGTCCTCAAATGTTTTCCATGCAGGTCTTCCTCCCACTGGCAGCTGGCAGGACCTGAAGGACCACATGCGGGAGGCCGGAGACGTGTGTTTCGCAGACGTGCAGCGTGACGGTGAGGGGGTTGTGGAGTTCCTCAGGCGGGAGGACATGGAGTACGCACTGCGACGTCTGGACAGCACAGAGTTCAGATCCCACCAGGTGAGACTCAACTGTGAAACGCTCTGATGCTGCGTTCACACCAGACGCGGAACGCGCATCAAGCGCGAGTGATTTCCATGTTAAGTCAATGCAAACGCGCGAATAGACATCCTGCGGCGCGATACGCGCGAATGGGGCGAAGCGAATGACTCGAATTGCACAGTGCGAATAGCGCGATGCAAATTGAGAGTTTTGCGCGTCTGATGCGCTTAACGAGCGTTTCGCGCGAATCTCTCGAGTTCGAAAATCTGAACTTCAGCGAACATTCGCGCCGGGTTAACCAATCAGGAGCTTGCTCTTGTGGGGACGTGATTGTGATGTAGAACCTGTTGATGCTGTCCTGGGGGAAATCCTCCAGGCTACACCGACAACAAGTCATCAAACTGGGCTCGGCTCAGTCAGAAGCACTGCTGAAAGCCTCCGTGATCCAGCTTCAGTTTCTGGAGGAGTTTATGAGCTCACAGAGCTGGATGCACCTCTGAAAGGATGTAGTGGACTCAGACACGGCTCTAAACGTATCGACACTGTTTTTCAGCCTTCATAAAGCACATTAACACTGTTATTTTCTTCATGAAATCCATGTTAGCCGTTTAGATATGAAGCTAGAGTCACCAGGCAGACAGAATCCCTGCCCATCACGCGAATCCGCGTCTGTTTTGAAGTGAATTTGACGCGCGAATGAAGCGGATTTGACGCGCGAATGAAGCTGGGTTTGACGCACGAATAAAGCGAGTAAACTCAAATGTTCACGCGGCAATTTACGTGCGAATATCACGATTTATCCGCGCTAACCTAACACAGATCAAGTGTCAATCACAAGTGATTGCAAAGACACGATCAGACATCGTGTGGTGTTTCCTAAATAGGCAAGTTAGGTTAATTAGGCAAGTCATTGGATATTAGTGGTTCGTTCTGTAGCCTATCAGGGAGAAAATCTTAAGGGGGCTAATGAAATTGGCCTTAAAATTTGTTTTAAAATGTAAAAAGTGCTTTTATTTCAGCCAAACTACTACAAATACAAATCTCAGAGGAGGGCGAATAATTTTGATGTCAAATGTTTGCATGTTTTTAAACGAAAAGCAAAATAAAGCGTAAAAAAACTGGTGTGGGATCAGTATCTGCACTGGCCAATACCCAGAATGTTTTGATATAGATGGATCTGATCTGAAATGTATCTTCACCATATTGTCCTCCGTCATCTGTATTTCTGTCATCAGTGATCGCGATTGTTTTGGGGTTTTTTTGCAGGGAGAGACGGCCTACATCAGAGTGATGGAGGAGCGAGGCACAAGCTGGGGCCGCTCGCGCTCTCGGTCCAGATCTCGGGGACGATACACGCCTCCGTATCAAAGCAGAGGGTCACCGCCGCCCCGCTACCGCTCACCCCCGCGCCACATGACCCGCCATAGCCCACCGTCCCGCCGGCCGCCGCTCCAGCACCACAGCCCGCCGCCACGCCACTATCGATGAGCGCACCACAGCCCGTCACCATGCCCTTGACGTCTCTTGATTTCGTAATTTACATTCCATTGTAGGAACCCGAATGGCCTTATTCATCGTTTATTTCATGGAGAGTGTGTAACCGATGCGCCAGCGACGCTTGTCGGAGATCTGAAGATGAATAACCCGTTTAGTCCTTTGTGATTATTTACATGAGGCAACAAGACTAAGGATGTGCTGTTTAGTGCTTTATCTGGTCCATTTCATTGACATGACAGTTTTATTGCTTTGTGGGGGGTTTTATATATAATTTGAGCAGAAGGCTGAAATTTTAAACAGAAGTTTCTTTATTGAGTCTCCCCGTGTGATTGTTTCTTGTTTTGTATCGTGAGGATTGTATGCTTAATTTTTATTTCTTTTCTTTTTTTCAATTAAAGCTTTGAATCGGAGAGACTGAATCGAGTCTTTTTTTTGCGCATTCGTGTTTTTAACAGGAGAAATAGAAACATTACAGATAATGGAAACTTATTTATAAAGTATATACACTACCTGACTGAAGTCTTGTCATCTAGCCAAGTTTTAGGTTCAACAAATAACTTCTAGTTGATCATTTGGTGTCAGAAGTGGCTTATATGAAAGGCAAAGGCCTCTAGATTTAGCTTTGAGCACAATAAAATAAGATCATGTCTTGATGTTGACTGATTTCAGGACAGTAAGGTCTGACTCTGCTCAGACTAAAGTCTCATCACTGAACAGAAATAATGTCCAGTATAGAATATAAAGTCCTTGTCCGTAGTGTATGAGTGTGTGTGTGTTTCCCAGAGATGGGTTGCGGCTGAAAGGGCATAAAAACTTGCTGGATAAGTTGGCGGTTCATTCCGCTGTGGCGACCCCGGATTAATAAAGGGACTAAGCCGACAATAAAATGATGATGAAGTTAAAATGTTAAATTAATCGAGATTTTGATTTTAGGCCAAATCACCCAGCTATAATATATCGCAATGTCAAAGTTTTCCAATATCATGCAGACCTACCTTTTATAAAACAAAACAAGCCTTAAAACAGTGGTTCTCAAACTGTGGTACGTGTAACACTAGTGGTGCGCGGAGGAATTGCTGAATAATTTAAGTAAAAAAAAAATGAACACACTTTTAACCCTTTGACACATACAACACCAATGTGATCAGTAAATTGATTTTTAACAGGCTAAAACTTTTATCTTATTTTCTAATGTTTGTTATGTATTCCATCATTTGAAGCTAATCTCCTCCATATATTTGTAACAGTTGTTGGGGGATTATCCTGTATTTTTATGTCCCAATGTTGACAGGTATCGTTTAATCACTTGCTTTTGTGACATACAAAGCCCATAACTTGCAGTAAGCAGATCTAATTTCTAAAGTAAATATGTAAATCCAAATCATACATTTAAAGTTACATTTAAAATTATGTTTAGATTTCAAATGCATATAAATACGTTATAAATATGTGCAACATCAATTACAAAACCTTTCAAAAAATTTTTATTTATGAATAAGATCACAAAAGAGGTCCAAGGCTGCTATATATTAATACTTTACATTTAAGTACAGCAATTTTCTTTTTAAGACCTATTAATTTTTAAAAGACCTATTAACCTTTTCATTTCTAATTAACTTTTAGAAGCACATTTTAACCCTTTCAAGGCAGGCGTTGCTGATTTGCATTAGTTAAAAATTAACTACCTTATTACTCCTGATACAGTTTACTCAAACGTACCACTGCAGGACTTTGTTGTCCATTAGCAACAAACAGTTTCCCAACTTGCTCACCAGATGACACACACACACACACACACACACACACACACACACAAAAAAAGTTCTTGGAGTACCACATGACAAAGTGACTTGGAAACATGACCTACTCAATGAGGATTTGCGATATTGGGTTTGGATCCCATATTGTTTTTGTTGTTGTTCTACCACTGAAAAGCAATTTGGTACATTGTTTGAAAAGTTATGGTATATAAAAATAAAAAGTTATGTAAAATATAAAAAGTTATGGTTCATATCATATACAGTCGTCAGTGTCTAATCACCACACTGAGCCAATATTGCAAAACTGCAACATCCCAGAACGCCTTGCATGTGAAGGTCTCTCTCTAAAAAAAAAAAAGAAAAAAGTCAGAATTCTTTTGTTCTACCCCATATGATAATTTTCTCCAAATATCAGATTTTTCCTGTTTCTAAAAATTAATTTGAGCCTGAGAGGGTTAATTTAAACATTACTTTTTTTTTTTAACCTGTAAGCACAGGGCAGGGTTAATGTTCAAGCTATTTATTATGTTTAAAGTTGCTGACAATAATAAATACTCATAATAATAGAAATTAACCTGTCCTATTTCTGAACTGTCCAGAGCTTTAGCTGCTTATTTAGGCCTACTACGCTACTGTATTTTAACACTGGTCGTTATGGTGGCACTATTTTTTTCTGAGGTGGTACTTGACGGAAAAAAGTTTGAGAACCACTGCCTTAAAATGTACTAAATTATATATAACACACATAAAATAGACAATTCATATTTAATCATTAAATGCATTTCATAGATAACACCTTCAAAAATCATCTGCAGTTGATTTGCAAAAGGCATTTTATGCATGTTTGAGTTCACCAGACATTTCAGAACTATCATTCGGCACGCTTTATTTTAAGTTCCAGAAAGCTTTGATTCTCCTACTCATAACTTAAATCTGTTAATTATCTCTTGAATTATTTATTTAAATATAAACACCATTACACTCCCTCTTCCCAAAATGGTAGTGTCCAAATCACGGTTATGGAAGCAGAAATAAAACAATTGCTCTCATCAATGATTAGTCTGCAATGAAAATAAAGCACCCACACTTCATCTGTACACCGTGCCTTACTCTACATTAAAAATAATAATAATTCAGAGGCACATGAAACCCAAACACACAGCTGATCGAATGATCTGAATGCATTTCCCCACATGCCAAACGATCCCTCTTTTATAATGATTGAACAGGCAAATAACCAAATGTAGAGTTTTCAGTCTCATCAATGTGCACTTAATCCAGATGTCCATCAGAAGGCCAGCGCTGCAGTCTTTGCGTCCTGATGATGGCGCCACATCTGTCTTTATCACATTAAAACAAAGATAAACCAACATCAGTCACAGTGAGATGAGCATCAGCTGTCTGCTTTCTCGCTGTTCGGGCCCATGAACTCCACACCCTCTATAGGGATGTCCTTCTCCTTGATGGCTTTCTGTAAATTAAAAGTAACGTTTAAAGATCGTCCGTGAGCTCTCAGAGTTTGTTAATCACTCGTAGATGAAATCATTAAAACCTTGACTTTTCTAAACCGCGGTATACCTTGAAAAGTCACCATCCCATGCCTAGTGCAGGGACTGCTCAGGAACTCAGACTGGGCCGAAGGTTTACCTTCAAACAAGACAATGACCCAAAACACAGATATAATAACGGAGTGGCTTCACAACAACTCTATAATGGCTCAGCCAGAGCCCTGACTTAAACCCAATTGAGTATCTCTGGAAAGACCTAAAAATGGCCCACCAGTGTCGACCATCCAACCTGACGGAACTGGAGAGGACCTCCAAGGAGGATTGGCAGAGGTTGGACAAATCCAGCTGTGCTGTGTGTACATTAATGAGGAAATGAATGAACATTTTAGCAAATGACTGCATGATAACAACGAGAGAAACATTTAAGGGGGTCTGAATACTTTCTGTACACACTGTGTATCGCATTGATTGTAAATACTTGTGTTTAACTCATCTGGTGACATTAATTCAACTTATCTTTACACAAAAGTCCATGTTAAATAGCAAAAGAGGTGCAGAAAAACTATTACCCATGGCTAAGTACAAAATACACCAATTATGACTGCTCAATATGACGGATATATCTAAAAAAATGTGCTTTATATTCACACATTCAGATTTTCTCCTTAATAATATAATAAATAATGACAATAATGATTAATTATATTTTCACAAATATGCAAAATAACACAGTTAAAAACAGAATGCAAATATTCAAATTACTAAAATTGAATATTCATGACTGCAACGTAAGAAAAAAACTAAACATTATGGTCATATTTGTTCTACAGCCTGTCATTTTTACAATAATGATTTATTATATTTTCACAAATATGCAAAATTCATAATGGTGCTGAAAACAAAACGCAATTATACAAATTAATTAAATAAAATATTCATGAATGTATTATGACTTAAAACAAAAACAATTCTTAACGTATTTATTCTACAGCCGGTCATTTTTTTTGTCACGTCAATAAAAAAATGTCTATAAAGATTTACTATATTTTCACAAATACGAAAAATTTTAAAAACCCTGCAAACTATGCAAATATTCAAATTAAAACATCAAATATTCATAAGTGCAATGTGACATAGAAGCGTTACATTTATTCTACAGCCTGTCAGTTTTACTCACTTCAATTAAAAAAATGCCAATAATGACTTATTAGATTTTTTAAAATTTGCAAAATAACACTAAAACAGAATGCAAATATTCAAATTAATAAAATTGAATATTTATGACCGTAATGTGAAAAAAAAACTAAAACAGTTATCATATTTATTCAACAGCCTGTCATTTTAACTTACTTCGATAAAAACGACAATAATGATTAATTATATTTTCACAAATATGCAAAATTTATAATGGTGCTGAAAACAAAACGCAAATATACAAATTAATTAAATAAAATATTCATGAGTGTATTATGACTTAAAACAAAAACAATCCTTAACCTATTTATTCTACAGCCGGTCATTTTTTGTCACGTCAATAAAAAATGTCTATAAAGATTTACTATATTTTCACAAATACGAAAAATTTTAAAAACCCTGAAAACTATGCAAATATTCAAATTAAAACATCAAATATTCATAAGCGCAATGTGACATAAAAGCGTTATATTTATTCTACAGCCTGACAGTTTTACTCACTTCAATTAAAAAAATGCCAATAATGACTTATTAGATTTTTAAAAATTTGCAAAATAACACTAAAACAGAATGCAAATATTCAAGTTAATAATTTAAATTATTCATGATTTAATTGTCTAAAATTTAAAACAATTATGGTGATATTTATTCAACAACCTGTCATTTTTACTCATTTCAATTAAAAAAAAATATACAAAAACCAATTATAACTGCTCAATATGACTATATATATCTTGGATATATCTAAAAAAATGTGCTTTATATTCACACATTCAGATTATCTCCTTAATAATTTAATATCAGAGCTGTATTGTTTGCAAACTCTAAATGGTGAAATCATATTATCAGCCAAATGACTAGCAAAGTACAACATTGTTTACAGCCAATTAAATATTGCTAATGTTGTTTTGAAGTCATTCTTGCATGTGTCACACCCAATATTCAAAGTTGCATGGTAAACAATATAGGGAACATGTCACAAGCTGACTTTCGGGCCGACACACAATGCTACTGTCTAGATAGGGAGCTCAGTGAGGTTTTAAGACGCAGCCACGAGTGTTTATGTATCCCTATCGCCCTTGCGAGCTGATTAACAGATGTGACTGTTCATATAATACACGTATACACCGATAAGATGGGTTACCTGAACACACGTGTGGTATTTGTTGAATAGCTCGCTGCAGGGATCCGCGCTTCGGTCTCCCTTCAGGAATTTCTCTGCAAACCAGCGGTTAAAGCACTGGTCATATTCGCGCTTGAGCTCCGTGCAGCCCTCGCCGACACTGTTCATCTTCACGCACCTCTCACACACAGTTTAGCGTATTAAGCTGTCGGTTGATATTTCACTGCCTATCTCGCTTGACTTTGCCGTTTTACCACCGGGCTCTCTCTCTCGCGCGTGGCGCAGGACGATGACGTCACACCGGCAGTCGCATTTAAAAGTCCTCAAGGCAAAACGGGACTTGTGACAAATCATTTCACGCCCTAAAATATGAACTTATTAAAGCCAATATTTAGTAAAGAAACATTTAATTATTTAATACAGAAACATTAATTAACTAGTAACAGATTTCTTTAAGGAGAGCACTTTGATGGATGTTTTTAAAAAGAAGTTTAAGCTTTTTTAATCACATAACAACATAAAAAAAATCATATGTAATGTTTTTAATGTTAAATATTTTAATTTATAAGTTTATTTATTATGTCAGCTTTAAAATAAAGTTATTATGTAATATGTTTTAATCTATATTTAAATGAATACATGGCAACAGTACGAGGTCTTCGCTGTTGCATTTTGCGCTTCAAAATGCACCACACATTCTCTATTGGAGACAGGTCAGGACTGCAGGCAGGCCAGTGCAATACCTGTATCCACTTCCTCCGCAGCCAGGACTCTGTAATGTGTGCAGAATGTGGTTTTGCATTGTCTTGTTGAAATATGCATAGGCGTCCCTGGAGAAGGCAGCAAATATTGTGCACCAAAATCTCGATGTGCTGTTCAGCATTAATGGTGCACCACAGAAGTGCAAGTTACCTTTGCTAAGGGCACTGACACAACCCCCCATCCTGGCTTTTGGACTTGTTTCCACTAACAGTCTGGATGGTCCTTTTCTTCTGAAAGGAGTACATAGAGTCCATTTCTGCCACCTGAAGTACTGATTCATCTGAGCACAGTACATGTTTCCACTGTGTGATGGTTCATCCCAGATGCCTCCGAGCCCAGGGAAGTTGACGCCGCTTCTGGACACTGTTAACATAGGGCTTCTATTTGGTACTTGTGTATGTATGTATTGTGGTACTTGACAAAGGGTTGCCAAAGTAGTCCTGATGGGTTTCTGATAGATCAGAGTTTACGGTTGTCAAGCTTAGGCTTGCGCCCTTGTCCTTTACGCCCTGAAATTTGTCCAGATTGAATCTTTTAATGATATTATGGCGTTGAAGGTGAAATATCCAAATGGCAAACCTGGCTATATATATATATATATAGTGTGTGTGTGTGTATGTATGTATGTATATATATATATATATATGTATATATATATATATATATATGTATATATATATTTATTTATTTATTTATTATTATTTTTTTAAGTAAATAGAAAGCTTATCTTTAATCATATTAAGGGGGTAATTATTGCATTATAATTAACTATTGCACATGTTATTATTAACTTATAACAATAAAAACAATTAATTACAGCACAATGGAGTTCACTGCACATTAAAATTAATCTGATCACAACAATTGATTGACAGATTTAATTCAAGCTTGCTTTTTTGTAGCTCAACAATAAAACAAACGGCAAAAGGTTGCGTTAAATTAGAAAAGACGATCTCTATTGAGGCAATCCCCCCCATCCCCTGACCTACCCCTTCATTTTTAAATTCTTCTCAAATGTGATGGCGGGCCAAATCAGGAGATGGGTCTGGCTGCAGACCTGGTGGAGTGCAATCTGGGCTGCATCCAATGCTTTTTAATGGGCTCACCTAACCCCACCCATCACAGTGACGTCACTAGCTCCATTTGAGTGCATTGTGTCTGACATTGAATCGCTGAGTGATGCAGTCTCAGCTTGCATCATAAAGGCTGCATCCAGATACTATTGCAAATCAGAGGTAATCATGAGCCAACTTTACCCCACGGGTCCTATATTGGGCATCTCTGGTCTAGATCTAAGTCTAGTACATATATTTTCCTACTAGTTGTTAAGTAAACCACAATAAATGAGCAACGGAAAAAAACAGTCAACACGTACATTTAATCAATATTATAGTACAGATTATAGCATATGCAGCACGCAGTCCTGACGATAAGTACTTTCACAGAGTACAATAAAAAATATATAGGTTTCCAATACAATTTCAATTCTGTGTCTTTAGTTGTCTGTAATTCGTGTCACTGAGGCTGTGCGCCGAATACATCGATCAGCTGACGTTATATCGTTTTTTTTTTTTACAATTCACACGTCCAACATTAGTAGATATGGTTATATCGTGAGCTACATACAGCATCATTCAGTGTAAGCAAATGCTAGAGGGCGTAAAACAGCGATACATAGAGAGCGAGAGATGATATACGAGCGTATGATGGGAAATTCATGTTAATAACACTGCAACCGATCGCTCTGAATTACAGCAGATACTACAAACACGTTAATAACAAGTGCTAAAAGTTCGGGACACCATACAAAAAAGTTTGGCTGCTGGTTGTAGAGCGCATCTGTACACACTCTCTCTCGCACACACACACACACACACATATCGATACACATCAGATATACATGAGTTTATCTGTAATAAACGTCATGACAAGCATCGGCCGCACACATCCCTGAACAGAGAAACTTAAGGCAAAAAAGATCAACACGGATGCAAATATTTTGTACAGTAAGGTTGGTTCACTGAGTGAGGTACGTCATTGTGTAGCAGCTCAACAGATTATCTGAGTGATGAAAACGGCGATGTTTGGGACATATTTGACCTCAGATATCAAAGGAACAAACTGAATATTTCAGTCTATTAATAGGGATCTTTCATGATAATAATTAAACATGATTAGGAGATGGTAAAAAATACTGCTTGACCGTAACACTATCGACAAACTATCATCATATTAATCATACTTATTTCAATAAAACATTGAGTTATTATATTTTCACAAATATGGGAAACTTGTAACGGCGCTGAAAACAACGCAAATATTCAAATTAATGAAATGAATATTCATGAGCACAAAAACTGTCATTTTTGCTCTACAGCCTGTTATTTTTACTCACTTCAGTAAAATAATGTCAATAATAATTTATTATATTTTCACAAATATGCTAAATAACACAGCTAAAAACAGAATGCAAATATTCAAATTACTAAAATTGATAACTGCAATGTAAGAAAAAAACTAAAAATTATGCTCATTTGTTCTACAGCCTGTAATTTTTACAATAATGATTAATTACATTTTCACAAATATGCAAAATTCATAATGGTGCTGAAAACAAAATGCAAATATGCAAATTAATTAAATAAAATATTCATGAGTGTATTATGACTTAAAACAAAAACAATTATTAACCTATTTATTCTACAGCCGGTCATTTTTTGTCACGTCAATAAAAAATGTCTATAAAGATTTACTATATTTTCACAAATACGAAAAATTTAAAAAACCCTGAAAACTATGCAAATATTCAAATTAAAACATCGAATATTCATAAGCGCAATGTGACATAGAAGCGTTATATTTATTCTACAGCCTGTCAGTTTTAATCACTTCAATTAAAAAAATGCCAATAATGACTTATTAGATTTTTAAAAATTTGCAAAATAACACTAAAACAGAATGCAAATATTCAAGTTAATAAAATTTAATATTCATGACTGCAATGTGAAAAAAAAACTAAAACAATTATCATATTTATTCAACAGCCGGTCATTTTAACTTACTTCGATAAAAACGACAATAATGATTAATTATATTTTTACAAATATGCAAAATTCATGATGGTGCTGAAAACAGAATGCAAATATTCAAATTGATAAAATGAGCGCAATGTGACAAATAATTATTCTGCATATTTATTCTGCAGCTACAGCCTGTTAAATGTGCTGAAAACAGAATGCAAATATACAAATTAAGAAAAAATGTTCATAATTAATGAAAAATGTGACAAAAATAAATAAAAAGCCTGGACGGGCATCTGCTGCGTAAATATAGGCTGGATAAGTTGGCGGTTCATTCCACTGTGGCAACCCCGGATTAATAAAGGCACTAAGCCGTAAAGAAAATGAATGAATGATTTTTTAAAAAATGACAACGATTTATTATATTTTCACCAAAAAATTCATATTGGAGCTAAAAACAGAACACAAATATTTAAATTAATAAAATAAAATATTCATGACTCTAATGTGACAAAAAAATGCATATTTATTCTACATACTGTAATTTTTTCTCACTTCACAAAAAAGTCAACAAAAATGGAAAGTGCTGACAGTCAATGGATATAATTGAAGAATTAAACCAAATAGGTAAAATATAACAAGTAAAATGGTTAAAAATATGAAAAATGAGGAATGTCCATATTTTTAAGGAAATAAATTCCCCCAAAATGTATTATAATTTATTTATTAGTTTTTTATGTTATATTTTTGTGCCGTTATGTTGTGTATTAGCATTTGTCTATGCATAATCATTTCACAAACTGCAAAATTAAAAAAATGACCCTGAAAACAGAATACAAATATACAAACTAATAAAATAATCATGACTGGAATATGACTAAAAACTAAAACAATTATGGTCATATTATTCTACAGCCTGTCATTTTTTTTCAACAAAAATGACAAAAATGATTTATTATATGTTCACAAAAATGCTAAATTCATAATGTCGCTGAAAACTATGCAAATATTTAAATAAAAAATAAAAAAAGTGACTTAAAACAATTAGCGTAATATTTATTCTACAGCCGGTCATTTTTACTCACGTCAATATAAAAAACGAACACAATTTATAAATAAAATAAAACAAAATTTATTATATTAAAATAAGACAATTTATTAAATATTTGACAAATATGCTAAATTCTTAATGGCGCCAAAATCAGAATGCAAATATGCAAATTAATAAATTAAAATATTCATGATTTAATTGTGACTAAAAATTAAAACAATTATGATGATATTTATTCCACAGCCGGTCACTTTTACTAACGTCAATAAAAAAAATGACAATAATGATTTAATATATTTTCAGAAATATGCAAAATTCTTAATGGCGCTGAAAGCTATGCAAATATTCAAATTAGTAGAATAAAATATTCATGATTTCAATGTGACTTAAAACAAAAACAATTATGGTCATATTTAACCCTGTCATTTCTACTCACTTGACAATAATGATTTACTATATTTTCCCAAATATGCAAAATAATATTTAATGACCCTAAAAACAGAATGCAAATACAATCGTTCATTTTGTCCCTTTGTATTGAAGAGGTCGAATATGAGCTGAAATATGAGATTCAATCCATCACCTGAAAACCACAATAAATCACTTTCATCCCCAACTTGAGTCTAATAACCTGGCCGTCTACTTTTTCCGTGCAAATATCACGAAGTGGCGGCTGAATTATGCTTCACATCAGCGACAATGAGTAATGTCTGATTTTCACATATGTAAAAAATAAATAGATATACAGCATTGTTTTTAATACTTTGTGCTTTTAGAAAAAAATCATTGCCATTCATATATATTCATCATCTTCATATATATTTTATAGCCGTTTGTTTACATCCATGACCTCGTATAAAACTATTCTCCAAATATCCTACTTTGTTTTCTATATTATTTATTTTTATCTGATATATTCTCTCAATCACATTTACTCTCCTGAAATCAAAATCAGTGGCTTGTTTTTAGCTTTTAAGGTGACCTATTATGCCCAAGTTTCAGCTCAAAACATCACACAAATAATGCTTTATAACTCCCTCAATCTGCCCCTTTCAGGATTCGATACTAATTGTGGTGTTTTGGTGACTGTCGCTTTAAATCCGAATGAGATTGTGCTCTTTTCAAAAGAGGGCGGAGCTACAACACCTATCTGCCAGCATAGTGGCAGATTCAATAACAAGACTATGCTAATGAGGGAGAGATGGTCACTAGTGGGCAGGGCTTCCCCCTCTGATGACACGTACAAAGAGAGAACGTCAATCAAAGTGTTTCAGCACTCTGTTTGCATCAAGTCTGATTATAAACAATACGATTAATTATTCTTAACCATTAGAGGCTGGATAACTTCAGTGATGTTGACATAATAGGTCCCCTTTAAGTCCATCCACATGTTAATACTGACCAGACAAAATAAATGTTATATAAAGGCATCCAATCATATTGTCGTTTGGCTAGTCAAAATAAAAAAACAGCCAAATTTCAATGTTCATACTCTACATATTAGTATTGAAATCTGGGAATGTTAGATCAGAAGGAACAACACTGGTTTGGCATTTACTTCGGCTGAGGGTTCGGGCCATAAACAGACACACAGAGCATCTTCATGTTGATAATGGAGGAGGATTCACTTGTTCTCGATCAGGATCTGGACTTTGTGCACCAGGTCCCGGGCCATAACCAGCAATTTTGGGACATCATGACGTTCAGCCATTTCTAGACGAACACATAATAAACAACAGGGTGTCAGTGTGTGTTCAGTTCTGCAGCATTGCATAGACATCTCATACTAAAACAAACAAACAAACAAAAGTTTAAGCTTGGAGAACGCAATTTCCAGTGTTTCCGTTTAGAGTGCTTCCCAAAGTGGGGGTCGCAGGACAATGCTGTGAGGGCGCTTGGTGATTTCCAAAAATCTAATTCGATTATTAAACGATTAAAATGACCGTATTTTATCCATAACCTAAAGAAGATACAAATAGTAGTTAATAGTTATATAAAAAACAACAACATGCAATTAAATGGCATCAGCCTTTGGGTTTTTTTCGCAATAGATTGCGACCCCTGGGGTGTTTACATTATAACAGGGTTTTTCAAAGTCTAAGACAGTGGGCCTCCCTTTTGACACAACTTATCCATTGGCGCCCCCCTCCTCCCAAACACGCATGCACACACGCACGCACACACATATATACATATATATATATATATATATATATATATATATATATATATATGTATATATATATATATATATATATATACACATAGACACAAATATAGATATATATATATACACAAATATATATATATATATATATATATATATATATATATATATATAGATAGATACACACACATATATATATATATATATATATATAGATAGATACACACACATATATATATATATATATATATATATATATATATATATAGATATATAGATATATACATACATATATATATATATATATATATATATATATATATATATATATATATATATATATATATATATATGTGTATCTATCTAGTATTAGTATAGATAAATATCAGTATTTGACGTCAATATGACGTTGGTTTAAGATGTTGGCTTGACTTTGGATATTGTCCACAACCTAAAATCAACCAAATATCAACGTCAGCGTTTGTGTCTAAGTGTGGTCACCGTTAAAGAACTTGATGATGTCTGTGAAGTCCATGTTGTTCTCCAGGATGATGTCTCGGTACAGCTCCACCAAGGCCAGCGCGATGAAGAGGACGAAATGCTCAGACGAGGCGTAACGTGCTGCCCAGATGGTCTCCCACACGGAGAACACGTCATCATACACCATTTCTGACAAACAGGTAAACAAGAACTTTCAATCACTCGAAGTGCTTCAGTGTTTAATAGAAGTAAACATTTCGAAGTAAAACTACAAACAAGCTGATCTAACTCTAAAATGACATATAAGTGAGGTTAGTAAGGCTTGAATACCTCTGATTCACTTGTACCTTCTGATCAGACTCATAGAGTATCTAAATAGGGTATATGCCGAGCTAGTGCTGTTCCCATGCTGATACACTTCCGGTGAGCTGTTATTGTGAACTTTTTCTCATTTTATACGGTTCCTTATACAGCATCGATGTTGTAATGTCATTAAAATACATTCAGTTAAATAAACTGTAGCATTTATTTAGTTACTCAAGCGTAGAACGAGACAAAAAGCTATTTACTCGCACGCGCTCGTCAGAATCGGCAGGCTAGCACAGAAGCTCCATTGAATATACTGGGGTAAAATAAATGCTCATATTATAAAGACATGGCGGGGTGAATGTAATGTAATGCAGTGCTTCTTGTACAATCTGAGACCCACTTTAAATCGGATATCACTCAGCCAGTGGAGATCGCTGATTTTTAAAGAAAACAGACCTTAAACGCACCGGATTTTGCATTGCCATTGAATTCGCCGGAAGCGCTTAACCCAGGTTACTGGCAAAATAAAAGTCCTATTAGCATGCTTCGGCATATACCCCATACCTCTAAGACAGTGTCAAACCTGTGGCTTTAAATAGTCTCAGGACAGCTTCACACACATCGCATCTAGATGGCGCCACTAACCTTACAGCTATGAAGGTGCCAAAGAGGACGATCATGAATGCAGAAATTATGCTTGCACTTCTCCCTGAGATTAAATACATGAGGAAACAACTCCTCACAAATATTAACGCAAGGATTATATGAATTTTAGGGTCATATGCTCTGATTTAAGGAATAGTTCATTTAAAAATAAAAATAAACTTTGAGTTTCTTTTGTTGAACACAAAAGGAAGATATTTTGAAAAATGGTGGTACTCATTGACATTCATAGTTAAAAAAGGAAACTCAAACAGGTTTTGCCATAGTGAAGAATGAATAAATGACAGAATGTTTTGGATGAACTATCTCTTTAAGGCTTTTATTCATTAATTTTGACCCCCTTAGAAACCCTGTTAAGTGGTAGTTCACCCAAAACTGCTTGTTAATTTGGGAACCGTTGACTTCCATAGTAGAAACAAAATTGTCACAATCACTAGTGATCTACTGCTTGCAGATCGCTGGTAAAAACACAGATTGTTAAAGAAACTACAAATCCGCCATTACATAGACTACAGATCCAGTCATGCACCACACACTCACACCTGTTCCGGTTGCCCTGTGATTGCTGACACACAGCTGAAGCTGTTCAGAAGTGATTACATGAACTTTAAAAGCAGCACAGACACACACACTAGTTGCTGAGTCTTGTTTATCTGTCATTGTGAACATTTCGATGCATTTTCCTTGCCTTCCTGTCTTAGACCCTTGCCTTGTTTTGTTTATTGATTTACGTTGTATGCTGCATGACTTTTGACTATCCACCTTGACTCTGGATTGCCCGTATACATCTGTTTGTTCCTGTATTGACCATTGCTTGCCTGACTATCCTGTTAACAAACCTGCATTTGACTCTGTACCTCCGTTGTCAGCGTCCCCTTCACATTACAAAAACACAATAGTCAATTTTTTTCCCCAGCGTTCTTCAGAATGCAAAACTGCTGTCAACGAAGATAATTTGGGAACCGTTGACTTCCATAGTAGAAACAAAATTGTCACAATCGCTAGTGATCTACTCCTTGCAGATCGCTGGTAAAAACACAGATTGTTAAAGAAACTACAAATCCGCCATTACATAGACTACAGATCCAGTCATGCACCACACACTCACACCTGTTCCGGTTGCCCTGTGATTGCTGACACACAGCTGAAGCTGTTCAGAAGTGATTACATGAACTTTAAAAGCAGCACAGACACACACACTAGTTGCTGAGTCTTGTTTATCTGTCATTGTGAACATTTCGATGCATTTTCCTTGCCTTCCTGTCTTAGACCCTTGCCTTGTTTTGTTTATTGATTTACGTTGTATGCTGCATGACTTTTGACTATCCGCCTGTTCATTGACCTTGACTCTGGATTGCCCGTATACATCTGTTTGTTCCTGTATTGAGCATTGCTTGCCTGACTATCCTGTTAACAAACCTGCATTTGAATCTGTACCTCCGTTGTCAGCGTCCCCTTCACATTACAAAAACACAATAGTCAATTTTTTCCCCCAGCGTTCTTCAATATATCTTCCTTTGTTTAACCAAAAGAAACTCAAATAGGTTTAAAACAACTGGCAGATGAGGAAATGATGGCAGGATGTTCATTTTCATCTATTTTAAGATATTATGTGTATTTATTAAGCAGATAACACTGATTCATTCTTATTAATTTTGCCGTGTTCTTTGCAGTGTCTGTGGATCTGCTCACCTCTCTTGAAATCCAGCAGGAACCAGCGGTAGCAGAAGTAGAAGTGTGTGTAGTCTCCATTCTGCTGCATCAGCTCGAACAGCTCCGAGTCCAGGATCTAAACAGGTTCGACACATTCATCAAACACACACTCTCACAAAACATCAGCCGACGTGTGTGTTTAGTAAGTGCAGGGACCTGGATGAGGGAACGCATGTTGGCGAAGTGTGTGTCCATGGCTCCTCCGTGAGGGAAGTTCTGGTTCATGCGCTTCATGAGCTCTGTGAAGCAGCTGAAGGCCATGGCCTCTGATTTAAACCAGATCATACACAAACAGGGTTTTACTTCAGGGGACAACATTAAATACTTTGTTACATGTGTTATGCACACTGTTCTAGGCCACAAGTCTTAATTTTCTACTGTATTTACCACCATTTTAAGGCACATCACGAACACTTTTATTAAATACTGACAATAGTGTTATTTACAGAACAGTTGTGTGAACAAGTGTTTGCCCCCTTACTAATTTCATCTTTTTGACATGTTTATCACACTTTAATGTGTCAGGTAATACTGTGAAAAATGTTCTTGCTCTGTCAAACATCACTTGGGAAATATCTTAAGAACTAAAGATCTAAAGATTTACAGAGAGGTTAATAATTGTGTGTGTGTTCATAAGCAAAAATGTACATTTTCATAATCTATCTAATGTTCCTAATATTTGATCTTATTATTTATTTCACATACCATCATCCAGGATGACCAGCAGGGGCGCTAGTAAGTCACACATTCCCTGGACGTATCCGATGTCGAGGTGCTGCCACACATAACTTCAGACAAAAGCATGTGAACATGCCATTTCATTTGTGATTTTTCAAAAAGAAATCCCAACAGAAATACGATACGATATACTCCACCTTATATAAACGATATTATTTCCATTTTAATATCACTCATTATATAATGCCAGAATGACTATGTAACAGCATCACAATGCAAATATAGTCTTGCAAAGAATACATCATATTTCATTCGTAAGAATATTTCATTTCATTATAGTCATCTTAAAAGTAAAAAATGAGGCATTGGAATCAGTATGTGAAACTCGTATCCGAAATAAATAATATTAAATGTTTACAAATAAGTGCAATATTTTACCTGCACATGATGTTGCGCAGTTTCTCCAGGTTGGCTGGGGTGAAATACCAGTAGTTTCTGTCACATCGCTGGACGTCTTTGTCGATGCGGTGTAGATTGAGTGTGTAGAGGTCCACCAGCTCCTGCTGTAGGGGAAAGCAGAAGGCCTTTACAGATCACACACTAGCAAAAACAACAGCTCCTCGCAAATCCCAGATGACTAGGATGCCTGTTTAATAGACATCAAAGTGAAACCGTATTTAGGTGTATTCTTCACAAAAACCAAGAATACGAGCACTATTTTCAGAAATTGAGTTTCACAGTCTTATGGCCTCTGAATAAAATGACATTAAAATGAAAACACATCTTTACCAGTAAGACTAATCGATGTTAATCATTGTGTTTTACAGAAATATAAAATAATATAAATAATTCTGGGCAGGTGCATTAATATTACCTGAAAATAATCCCCAGCTAGCTAACTAGGCAACAGTGCTGTGTAATATGATTGTTCCTACTGCCATTATTACGCCAGAATGAGAGTATAATTCCTAGACATATCGGCCTAGAAAATAGCAACTTTTCATTTTCTATCAATCTTACAGAATGTACACAATGTGTCAAGCTTTAAGTAGGAAAACTGGCTAAACTCTATCAATTTTGAGCGAGACGCTAATGGTCTAATCTGATTTAATTATATATGCTAAACTAAGCTAAAAGTGCTCCGGCCAGATTGGCTGAATGGATTAAAAAAACTGAATATTGAGTAGGAGGCGGGGCTTTATTTCAGTATGCTGATGTACTTCCAACTGAAACTGAATATTAAGTAGGGGGCGGGACTTTATTCAAGTATGCTGATGTACTTCCAACTGAAACTGAATATTGAGTAGGGGGCGGGACTTTATTCAAGTATGTTGATGTACTTCCAACTGAAACTGAATACTAAATAGGGGGCGGGGCTTTATTTCAATATGTTGATGTACTTCCAACTGAAACTAAATATTAAGTTGGGAGGCGGGGCTTTATTTAAGTATGTTGATGTACTTCCAACTGAATCTGAATATTGAGCAGGGGGCCGGACTTTATTCTAGTATGTTGATGTACTTCCAACTGAAAATGAATACTGATTAGGGGGCGGGGCTTTATTTTAATATGTTGATGTACTTCCAACTGAAACTAAATATTAAGTAGGGTGCGGGACTTTATTCAAGTATGTTGATGTACTTCCAACTGAAACTGAATATTGAGTAGGGGATGGGGCCTTATCTCAGTATGTTGATGTACTTCCAACAGAAATAAAATATTAAGTAAGAGGCGGGGCTTTTTTAAGTATGTTGATGATCTTGCAACTGAAACTGAATATGGAGTTGGAGGCGGGGCTTTATTTCAGTGTGTTGATGTACTTCCAACTGATACTGAATATTGAGTAGGGGGCAGGGCTTCCTTTTTGCGCATCATTCCCTCATCAAACTAACAATAAGAGGGCGTGGTTGAGAATATTGATATGCAGTTGCTATAGAAGCCCTCAAGTTGACGTCAACAGAAAGACTGCCAATTTTAAACAAGGAAGCAAATGTTCAGACTTTAAATAGCTTTTATTAAGCCACATTATTATTATTTACCTTTTTTTTGTTGGTCAATTTTTTATTTCATTGTATGCGCTTAGTTGGATATTATTATTATTTTTTTTACTGTAGTATTGCCATAAAATCCATATATGAATTTAATAAAATGCTCAGACTTTAATTGAAAATGACCAAAACCACTTTTTCAGTGGATTAACTTGCACAAATTACTTATTCACCTTAAGAATAACAATGTGAGCAAGCAAAATAAACATTGTACATTTTGATTTTACCCACACTTTAAAGTACACATGAAATCTGATTTTGTTAGCTTAGTTTAGTATAGTTTGTCCTTGTAATCTTTAACTGAAATCTGAATATGCACTTCCTGTTTGTGTTCAGTTAAATTCTCTTATTAGGTCAGTCTGAGGTATTGGGTGTGGCTAACACACTTAACCACGCCCCTCCAGCTGTCAGTTTTGACAACAAACAGAAATGGTGAGCAGGAGGAGTCTGGTTGTAATAACTCTCCCCAAACCCTGAATGAAATGTCTACGATACTACAGCCAATCAGCTTGCAGTAGAAAAAACAAGCCACGCCCACTGCTTTCTCATTTAATATACCATTTCTCTAGTAACTGTGTCACAATATGCTTCTGGTTCATGCGGATTTTAACGTGATCTACCGAGTAGGTGGTCCCGATTGAGGACACTGGTGAGGCGATGTCGTTCTTGTCTCCGGTGACCGCTAGAGAGTCTGGTTTGGGGAATAAGTTGTCCATCTCGGGTTCCTCCTCAGAGAGCGCAGAATCGGTTCCCTCTGGGGTGGTGTTGACGCCTGGCTCCATGCAGAGCTCCAGAGCAGGCATTCCCATGGGCGATTTCTCCCCGGCGGCGATGCATGGAGCCACAGGACGGGCCAGAGTCAGAGGCGTCCTGCACATGGAGCTCTCAGAGGACATGTACACCACAGATGAAGGGATCTCCTCCATCTCCAGAGCCGACGGAGAGTCGTCGGACATGTCCGGAGACGGTTTGGACAGGGATGTGAGCGGCCCGCAGCTCTCAGACTCCGATTCTGTCATCTGTTTGATTATTGATCTGGCTCGGTTGTGTTCGGAGTCCCAGCTGATGGTTTGTGGTGCGGTTTGAGGCACATTCTGTGGTCCAGATGAAAGATTTTGGGAGGTTTTCATGTCGTCTAGTGTTGATTCTGGAGCAGATGGTTGACATTTGGAGTCTTTGTTGACTTTTAGACCTGTTGCTTGCTCCATGTTTAATTCAGATGAGAGATTTAGGCAGGTTTTCATGTGTTCAGGTGTTGATTTTGGAGCAGATTGTTCAGATTTTGAGTCTTTGTTGACTTTTAGACCTGTTTCTTGCTCCGTGTTTGATTCAGATGAGAGATTTTGGGAGGTTTTCATGTGTTCAGGTGTTGATTCTGGAGCAGATGGTTGACATTTGGAGTCTTCGTTGACTTTTAGACCTGTTTCTTGCTCCGTGTTTGATTCAGATGAAAGATTTTGGGAGGTTTTCATGGCTTCCGATGTTGATTCTGGAGCAGATGGTTGACATTTGGAGTCTTCGTTGACTTTTAGACCTGTTTCTTGCTCCGTGTTTGATTCAGATGAAAGATTTTGGGAGGTTTTCATGGCTTCCGATGTTGATTCTGGAGCAGATGGTTGACAATTGGAGTCTTCGCTCACTTTTAAACTTGTTTCTTGCTTTGTGTTTGATCCAGATGAGAGATTTTGAGAGGTTTTCACGTCATCTGATTTTGATTCTGGAGCAGATTGTTGAGATTTGGAGTCTTCATTCGCTTTTTGCTCCATGTTTGATTCAGATGAGAGACTTTGAGAGGTTTTCATGCAGTCTGATGTTGATTCTGGAGTAGATTGTTGACATTTGGGGTCTTCATTCACTTTTAGACCAGTTTCTTGCCCTGTTTTTGATTCAGAAGAGAGATTTTGAGAGATATTCACATCTTCTGGTGTTGATTCTGGAGCAGATTGTTGAGATTTGGAGTCCTCATTTACTTTTAGACCAATTTCTTGCTCCGTGTTTGATTTTGTGTCTTCATCCACAATTGATAAAGACACCGGATCTGCATCTTCAGCCTGCTTTGATTCTGATGATCGGCTTTCCTCAGCGGGATCTTTTAATGGCTGAACTTCACACTTATTTACTTCAGACTTTCTTGCATCTGCTTCAGCACCAGGATTCACTTCATCTTCTTTAGGTTCAGACAGATTGGTTGGATTTTTTGAGATTGCATCTTTGATCTGATCCGTTTCAGCCCTAGACGTTTCAGAAGTCTGCAGTTTGCTCTCGTTTTGAGTAGTAATGGCAGCTTTGTCTGTATCCTGAGTGGTCGAGCTGTTTTCTGGTTGCTCCTCTTTGGGTTTCTCCTCTATGTCAGGCTGATTTCCTTTTGACTCTTGTGTTGAAGTCTCCTCTGCGCTGGGAGAGCAGTCGGACATCGCTGAGGTCACGGAGAAGTTGCGGGATGATGGGTGTCCGGAGTCTGGAGAGCTAGTGCAGTTCGGCAGAGCGCCGTTGGGGATTTTGGGCTGCGGCTTCTCGTCTTTTGGTTTGGGCTCAGATTCGATGGGATCCACTTCATCTACCGAGCCAAACACCTGTGGATGGTTGAAACACACAAAAATAGAAATAAATATATAAAGCCAGAATAGTTTAAACAAATATTTCACGGCAAAATGTAAACAATCATTTACTCAACATCTATATGAATTCATTCATTTTCAGCTTAGTCCCTTTATTAATCAGGGGTGGCCACAGCGGAATCAACCTCCAACTTATCCAGCATATGTTTTACGCAGCGGATGCCCTTCAAGCTGCAACCCATCATTGGGAAACCCATACACACTCATATACACACATACATACACTATGTTCAATTTAGCCTACCCAGTTCACCTGTACCGCATGTCTTTGGACTGTGGGGGAAACCGGAGCACCCGGAGGAAACCCACGCAAACGCAGGGAGAACATGCAAACTCCATACAGAAACGCCAACTGACCCAGGCAAGGCTCAAACTAGCAACCTTCTTGCTGTGAGGCGACAGCACTACCTACTGCGCCACTGCGTCACCCATTTATATGAATTCAATATTATCAATATTATCTTAAACATTCTCACTTAACTCAAAGTTAAAATAATGCATCACATTCCCTTTAGTTCCATATATAGCTCCATATATCCATATCTAAACTATTGACTTATTAGTCATTAAAGAAACCGACAAAGTCTACACACGAAGGAAGCAAAATTAAGAACAAAACGAGCAAAGCCTTCAGTATTGTGTTGTGTTGTGTTGTGTTGAACGGTGTGTGTCTGACCTGAGTGCTGCTGTTGGAGTCGCTGTGTGATCCTGCGTGACTCTGTTTATCTGAGTTGCTGCTCTGAGATGACTGCACACACAAACACAACAACATTATCACAACGCAACACAATGCAAACCTCACCAATACATTCATAACTCATCTGGAGGGCCTTCGTCATACCTGGCTTAAGCAATCTAACTTGATTTTTAAAATCCTAATTGCAGATCTCTGGCTAATTTGATTCTTCAAATGAGTTTGTGAAATTTCTGGATGATCTGATCTGAGATTACTACATGTGCTCGTGTGAAAGACACGAGAGAGACAGTGATACAGCCAATTCGATGGATGGGGATGATTGGGAGGCCATGATTGTAAGGGCCGATTGAGGGATTTTGGCCAGGACACCGCAGTTACCCCCCTACTCTTTACGAGAAGTGCCATGGGATTTTTAATGACCACAGAGAGTTATGACCTCGGTTTTACATCTTATCCGAAAGACGGCGCTCACTGACAGTGTAGTGTCCCCTTCACTTTCACTGGGGCATTAGGTCTTACACAGACCACAGATTGAGCGCCCTCTGCAGGCCTTACTAACACCACTTCCAACAGCAACCTAGTTTTCCCATGTGGTCTCCCATCCAGGTACTGACCAGGCGTAGCCCTGCTTAGCTTCAGTGAGTAGCCGGTATTCGGCTGCAGGGTGACATGGCTGTGGCATCATCTGATCCATGTTCAAGGATCAGCCATGTGAGCAAAATGACGTAGCAACCAAAACGGTTTGTTAAATGATAAGTAAGAACTGTCTACAGTTGTTGTAGGCTATTTGTACAGGCTTTACTCTTGTGTCAATAGCATAGTATTTATTCTGTATGAGTATTGCATTATTCTACATAACTGACTGTTTCTTAATCAAATGGATTAGATATTACTATCTTTTTAAAGGTGCCGTATGTAAGTTTGACACCAAGTCGTTGAACCAGGTATTGCACTCTTGGATGAAAACAAATGCAAGCATGTTTGGAACCACCAGGACCCTTCCTAGAGCTAGCCGGTCACCTAAGCTGAGTGATCGGTGGAGAAGGGTCTTAGTCAAGGAGGTGATCAATAACCCGATGATCACTCTGTCTGAGCTCCAGCGTTCGTCTGTGGAGAGAGGAGAACCTTACAGAAGGACAACCATCTGTGCAGCAATCCACCAATCAGGCCTGTATGGTAGAGTGGCCAGACGAAAGATATCCCCGCCTGGAATTTACCAAAAGCCATCTAAAGGACTCTCAGACCATCATAAACTAAACTCTCTGCTCTGATGAGACTAAGATATGTCCAGGCGTTACAATTGGAGAACACCAGGCACTGCTCATCCCCAGGCTAATAGCATCCTTACAGTAAGGCATGGTGGTGTTGGCATCATGCTGTGGGGATGTGTTTCAGCAGCAGGAACTGGAAGACTAGTCAGGATAGAGGGAAAGATGAATGCAGCAATGTACAGAGACATCCTGAATGAAGACCTGCACAAGAGTGCTCTCCACCTCAGACTGGGGTCTTCATCTTCCAGCAGGACAATGACCAAAAGCACAACGCCAAAATATCAATGGAGTGGCTTCGCAACAACGCAGTGAATGTCCAGCCAGTGCCCAGACCTGAATCCTATTGAACATCTCTGGAGAGATCTGAAAATGGCTGAACACAGTCGCTTCCCATTCAGCCTGATAGAGCTTGAGAAGAACTGCAGAGAGGAATGGACAAAAAATGAATCTGATTTTCATGTCGGAGTCTGCTACTGTCACACATTTTGGTCACGGACGCATGCTTTGAGAGCCTTTCTGAATGAATGAAATACACTGTTTTCCACCAAGGCAACCTGGGGTGCTGAAATATATTTGGCTAAACTGGCATTTGGCGGGTTAAAGAGAAACAAAGACAGATGTTTTGGCACATAACACACATTTTCAAAGCACTCCTGCCCTCCAGGGTTGTGAGTGAGGTCTCGGACCTGGAGTCAGACACTTCGGCGGCTCCTCGCAGAGGGTTCCCACCTGCGGCACCTAGACCTGCTCCGCCTCCACAGCCTGCTCCATCAACCATGCAGCAGAGTGATCAGTCATCCAGCAAACTCCCAGTGTCGGTAGACACACGTCTCCCTTTCCTCTTCGAGGAATGTGGGTTACGTTCATAACCAGGACATTACGAACGTAATCCACTTAAATTTGCAAAAACAATTGAGTTAACTTAATTGACTTTTGTTGGGACTGCATGCAGCAATTGTGTTGAACCCAGCATTTTTTAAAGTGTATGAAGAACGGACCCTTGCTTCGAGCTGGTTTAAGCTTACAAACCTCTATGACAACCACTCCTGGATGAGTTTTGAAGAACCAAACAATACTAGATCATGTCAAACCATCACTAATCAAATCAACTGAGTGATTCACGTACAGGGAATGGACCCCTGTTGCATATGAATGACTTGAGCGTTAATACTGACATCCGTGCTGATGGTGGAGTCCTGGCGTGACCCTCGGTCCACACTGGCACCAGACACACATTTGGCCAGAGCGGCGGCGTGCTGCTCCTTCTCCCGCTGGCGCACGATAGCTTCACATCCCAGCCACTCGCTCATGGTCTGCTCATAGCACGCTCGAATCTGCTCGTCCACCTACACAGAGCAGACGGTCATTATTCTGCTGCTTCAAGCTAGCTTTAGCTACTGTTTACACCTTGTCCCTTCATGCATTTGGTTTTCTGATTGGATATCGATCTAACTGTGGAATGGGCAAGTGTGAAAGCTACTCGCATCAGCATCGATATCTCAATGTGATCATTTGCAATAGTCATGATATGTAATGTTGAGTTTGTTTTGTAATTTAATGATGCCTGTGATAAGGCGAAACGGTGGCTCAGTGGTTAACACTGTGGCCTCACAGCAAGAAGGTCACTGGTTTGAGTCCCGGATGGGTCAGTTGGCATTTCTGTGTGGAGTTTGCATGTTCTGTATGCAGTGGAATAAAATGTGGTGCATTCCCCTGCTAAAAAATCCAGCTTAAACCAGCCTAGGCTGGTTGGCTGGTTTTAGCTGGTCGACCAGGCTGGTATTTAGAGGGGTTTTGGCCACTTCCAGGCTGGTTTCCAGCCATTTCCAGCCTGGTCTTAGCTGGTCAGGCTGGAAAATGACCAGCTAAATCCAGCAAAATCCAGCTTGACCAGCCTGGTTTAAGCTGGACACAGCTGGTTTTGGCTGGGCTCCCAGCCTGCTAGGCTGGTCAAGCTGGTTTTAGCTGGTCATCTCCCAGCCTAACCAGCTAAGACCAGGCTGGAAATGGCTGGAAACCAGCCTGGAAGTGGCCAAAACCTCTCTAAAACCAGCCAGGTTGACCAGCTAAAACTAGCCAACCAGCCTAGGCTGGTTTAAGCTGGATTTTTCAGCAGGGTCGACCCCCTTAGTCGATGTAACCTATGCTTAAATTGAATATAGCGTGGAGTTGGATGATTTATATCAGCTTAGTGGAGACCCATTTATGTGACCAAATGTAAATATAACTGTCTTCACAAATCAAATGAGAGAGAAACAGGTGTAAACAGTCCCATATTGACCAAAGCATCACTGTTGTTGACCTCTTTGCGTTCTTCTGGGCTCATGGTGAAGTGGTAGTGTCCTAACAGGAAAGGCCACACCTCTTTCCGCAGAGACGGCTCCACACCACCGTAATACACCAGCCGCAGCAGCTCCTCCTCCTCGTACGCCTGCAGAGCAGACACAGCGGGATACTCACAGTTTATAGTTAGTTACTATCAGGAAAGGGAAAGGGAAGGAAATTCAGTCATCTGATAGCAAACCATACATAAAATACATAACAAAACTGCACACACACACACACACACTCGGAATATCTAAACAAGAAACAAATATATAAATAAAAATAAATAATAATAGTTAATTCATTTATAATAATAATACTTCATAAGCAACTCAAACAACTCATGTTTTTATGCTGCGTTCACACCAGATGCGGAAGGCGCGGATAGATCGCACCATTTGCGCGTAAATAGCCACGCGAACATCTGAGTTTACTCGCTTCATTCGCGTGTCAAACCCCGTTTCATTTGCGGGTAAAATCCACTTCATTCGCGAGTCAAATTCACTTCAGAACAGACGCGTACTCACATGATGGGCTTTTGCCTGCCCGGTGACTCTAGCTAGCCCAGTTTGATGAACTTTTTATCAGTGTCGGCTGGAGGATTTTCCCTGGGACACCACGTCACAATCACTTCCCCACAAGAGCAAGCTCCTACAAGTTAAGTCAATGCAAACGTGCGAATAGACATGCTGCGTCGCGATACGCGCGAATTGCGCAAATGGTGTGACACGTCATTGAGCGTTGATTGATTAATGCAGCGTGAATGTCCGCTGAAGTTCAGACTTTCGAACTCGAGCAATTCGTGCGAAACGTGCATCAAATGTGCAAAACGCTCAATGACGTGTCACACCATTCGCGCAATTCGTGCGTATCGCGACGCAGCATGTCTATTCGCACGTTTGCATTGACTTAACTTATATATCACATGCGCTAATGTAAACGCAGCATTATGCTTACAAAATCAGAGAGATGCTTTTATAGATTTCTTTTGTAATTTTTTTATAGTTTCGCATCAATATTTTTACACATAGTACTAGTAAGATACTGCTATAGTTTTATCAATATTTTTTGAACATTTGTTTTTCAATTTTTTAAATAAATTAAGTTAAAATAAATAAGAAAAGTTCCCTTCGCAACTTGCTGAATTTGTTTTACTACTGTATTTCAATTTACATTTATTTTAGTTGAAGGCTTTAGCTAACTAACATACATGCTGCACAACAGTTATCAAATGATAATTAATAAAAGATGTAAGAATTGGACACTTACTGAGCAGTCCTGTAGAAATGACTTCCACACGTCTGCCGACAGTCCGCCTTTGGCATCATATGGGATGTCAGGCTCAACAATAGTGGCATTTACCAAAGCCGAGAGGTGCGTGCGGACAGTGGAAAGATGACGGCAATACGCCAACCCTTAAAAACACACATCATATCATGAGGGAATTACCTGAGAAAGTGCATTTAGCCATAAAAGAGTCACCAGGGCTTAAAGCCCCCTTGGCCACCAGGGGGGGCATTGTTTTTTTTAAACCGAGGCTCATTGCCGATATGTACCCAGGGGTCTGTTCTTTGTACGTGGATTACTCAGTTAGCTGGATTTGGATATTGACGATTTGACACGATCCAGGATCGTTTCGTTCTTCAAAGCTGATCCGAGAGTTGTTGTCATAGCAACAGTTCTGCTGGGTCAAACCTGATAGGGAGCAGGTTCAATTCATATAAACAGGATTAGATCGGCTCAGTTCAAGCAAAGATAATAGAGAAAGTATGTTCCCAATTCTGATATTTTCTTACAGTAGTAGTTATATACACTTGGGAAAATGGTACATATATTTTAACTAAATATATAAAGTTTTAGTTATTAATAAAATAAATAAAGTTATACATATTAATAAAACGTATGCAATCTGCACCCTCGAAATGAAAGTACAAAGACTGCCACCTGGTGGTGCAAAGAGAAAACTTATTGATATGAACTTTTTAGATCGCTTAGTACAATTTGTGTATAATAGAAATGCACAATATGTGACTTTTTTTTTTTAAAGCAATAATACATTTATGCAGTCATGAACATGTTTTGATAGTTAATATGCCGGTGATTTGATGCTTCACAAAAGTTGCAGACGCCTTTACCAATATAAAACTGCTTTTGTAAACAACCAGTTATTCTTTACACCGATTAAAAAACGGCGACTATAATAAAGAAAATCTTTTCTAAATGTGGAACTAAATACATTGATTTGCATTGAAATACATGATGAATACTCTTGACACATGAAAGTGTAAAGCCTGCAGCTCACAACAAATGTGTAAAGTTATTGCGTGTCATATTAAACAAACCGTTTACTGCTAATTTGATGTAATTTTGCTCACATGGATGATTGAATATTAATCAGATCATGTCATTACGCTGCTGTGCCGTCAGCCAATCGTTGCATTGCTGATCATGATTTCGAGGATGGATAGATCTGTCCTTTACAACACACGCAGCGATCTCAGATCAGTTTATCCAGACATTCTAATCTGATTCGCGAACTTGTTTGAAGAACCAAATTAGCGAGAGATCAGTTATCAAGATTAAAAGATCCAGGATCTGCCAAATAATCTTAGATCATTTAAGCGAGGTACGAAGAACGGACCCCAGGTCTACATTTCTGGTGTTCAGATAACATCTGCTCGCAGTTTTTGCATTTGCAAATCCACCAGAGGCTGCTGTGTACGCTTTTTGATAATCACTAATTTCTCCAACCCAGGCTCATTCTGAAAGCGTAGTGCTATATACGTTTCTGGAATCTGGAAGTTTCTGGGCAAACTGGTGACACCAAAAAGCTGTCCATACAGAGGTAAGCGGTCAGCGGTAGCATGAAAAGTAATAGAAGCTGTCATCGCCATCCTTCCGCCCTATAGTGTTCGTTTTACAGACAGAAATGGATCCAGATGTACCTCTGGGTACATATTTTGCAGTCTCCAGAAACGTAGACAGGGGTACGTATCCACAATGAGCCTGTGTTGTTTTTTTATTCATTTTAATTATTCTTTAAATAAATATTAACGAATATTTATTTATAAATTATGATAAAGTACATCCAGGAGGTTGTTTTCGCAGAATAAACCCTTCAGTTTTATACAACAGTGCTCCGATTCACGTCGGGCTGCCGATAAACCGGTTGGCCTTTATTCTGTGATAAAAACTTCCTAGATGTACTTTATCATGCTTTTTACATTGCTACTATTGATGCCAAAACAACAGCATAAACTACTATGACAATGGTCACTTCAGGTACTGATTATGGGCTTTATGTAGTGTTGAACGCTGCCAGTGTGAGTTTAAATACCATTTATCACCATACTACTGAAAGCAGCAGCAGATAGTTCACCTCAGATCTTGAAAATCAAATAGCGGACGGTTTGAAAATAGAAGTCAGAACTGTGATCTAACCGTGAGTCATTCAGTAGCCTTTTAATAATGTTAATTAGATTAAAAGACAGGCAAACTGCTCGTTGCTGGAATCTTGTCGCATCTCATATTGTTAGGACACGGTGTTAAAGTGTGTGAATAATCAAGTATTGACAATAATATTGTTCGCATCAAGTGGCCCTCAAATACAATTCTGCTTAGAGCCCCCCTGAAGACTTGGGCAGGCCCTAAATAAAAGTCACATGATACGTACAGCCGTAGAAAGCGCGGGAAATGATCTGGTGCTTCATGGTCTCGCAGAGTAACTTGAGCGGCGCCCTGTTTCACACAGACATCTGCAGTCAGGCTAAAAGCATACACAAAACGCTAAAACCAAACATCACAAATCCAGACTCGCCTGTCATGGTTGCATCCGTTGGGAAGCCCGCCGTCCGATGAGCCGTTCTGCGAACAGGAAGAACAAGACGACTTCCTGGGCGTCGGCTGCCACATATTGACAGCCTGCTCGATCAGTTCTGGAGCCACTTTAACATGATCAGAACGTCAATCAGCATCATATTTACATTAGACAACATAAAGGAGTTCACCCAATTTAGAAAATGAAAATGTTTATCCACTTCTCAGTGACTATAGGTCATATATTTTGGTGCACGAAACAGATTTATTGAACAGAAATATTTATTAAAATAATATTTTAGTCACCAAACATCTTAAACATATTATATCAGTAGATACAGTTGAAACCAGAAGTTTACATACACTCTTAAAAAAAGGAACATAACTATTTTTAAAACTGTCTCATGGTAAATCACTAAACGTTTACTATTTTAGGTCCGTTAGGATTACATAAATGATTTACATTTGCTAAATGCCAGAATAATGAGAGAAATTTTTATTAATTTCTAGACAGTCAAAAGTTTACACACATTTCCTTGGTATGTTTTTAGCTTTGCTTTTAAACTGTATAACTTTGGTCGAATGTTTTAGGTCTCCTTCCACAAGCTTCTCACAATAGTTTGCAGGAATTTTGGCCCATTCCTCCTGACAGAATTGCTGTAACTGAGTCAGATGTGTAGGCTGTCCTGCTCGCACAAGCTTCTTCAACTCTGCCCACACATTCTCTATAGGATTGAGATCAGGGCTTTGTGATGGCCACTTCAAAACATTCACTCTGTTGTCCTTAAAGCACATTTGAACTCATTTGGCAGTATGCTTAGGGTCATGATCTGTCTGGAAGACCCATTCGTGGCCAAGTTTAATGTCCTGGCTGATGTCTCGAGATGTTGCTTCAGTATTTCTCCATAATGTTCTGTCTTCATGATGCCATCTATGCTGTGAAGTGGACCAGTCCCTCCTGCAGCAAAACAGCCCCACAACATGATGCTGCCGCCCCCATACTGCACAGTTTAGATGGTGTTGCTAGGCTTGTGCGCTTTCCTCTTTGTCCTCTAAATGTAACACAGCTCATTACAGCCAAACAGTTCAATCTTAGCTCCATCAGAGCACAGGACATGTCTCCAAACATGAGTCTTTCCCCAGTGTCATTCAGCAAACTGTAATCTGGCTTTGTTGTTGATTCTGGCTTGTTGATTCTCCATGTTGTCACACAAGGAAGCAGTGTGTTTGAGCTTTTCCTTCAACACTATTCTACAGTTGTGCCTCACATTAACTCAAATGTTGTCAATTAGCCAATCAGAAACTCCCAAAATCTCGACATCATCATCTGAGCTTTTTCAGAGGCAGAATAATCTTACTGTGTGTAAACTTGACTTTCAACAAAAGTTATCTCAATTTCTCAACAAATCTCTCTCTCATTATTGTGCTATTAAGCAGAACAGAAACACATGTGATCATCCTAACTTACCCAAAGGAGAACAAGTTTAGTCACATTAACATCTGACTTTTTAAATTGGTTATGTGCCTTTTTATACAGTGTATGACAAACTTCTGCTTTCAACTGTAGTACCGATAGGACTGATAAAAGTAGATTCTAATGTCTGCTCTGATAATAAATGGCTTGTATAAAACAGCAGACTAATATCACATGAACATACCGAACTCTTGACTGCCTGGGTATATAATCCGGAACACATAATCAGTGGCCTCATCTTCATCTTTGTCAGAGAAAGACTCGCAGGATCCATGCGGACTCCTTTTGCGCAGTTTTGGAAAGACTTTTCCCTGGAGAGGAGCATGAAATGTTCTGTAAAACATATATTTGTTGCATAAAGTATTCATAGATTAATAGTGTTTGGCAAACCTTTCCTCTTTGAGACCACAGAGGAGGATCCAGCTGCCCATGAGGAAGGAGACCTGTTTCCAGACAGGTGAGGAACTGGAGCAGGTGTCCTCCTTTTGGGAACCGAAACGGAGGCCTTTGGATCCCGTCTTGACTGACCAAAACCACAGTACCACCACTGTCCACTAAACACATTCAGAGAGAACTTGTCGCATGAATTAAAAGGGACATGTCACTTTTATAAGGGGTTTAAACACAGTTGTGTGTGAATATAAGCAGCTCCTAATGGTAAATAATTGTATTTATTATAATCAGAAGCACTTTGATTGACATTCTCCCTTTGTACTTGTCATGAGAGGGCGAAAGCCCTGCCCACTAATTACCATCTCTTTCTCATTAGCATAAACAGCCATAAGGGTGAAGCAGCTGTCCGCCATTAAAGTTTTGAATCTGCAACACATAGGCATTTATAGCTCCACCCCTTTTTTTAAAAGAGGGCTGGGAACACAATCTCATTTGAATTTAAAGTGACAGTCACCAAAATGGCACAATTAGTATCAAAGCCTCAAAGGGGCAGTTTTAAAGAGGTATAAAGTATTATTTGTATGTTATTTTGAGCTAAAACTTCACACACACGCACTCTAGGGACATCAGAGACTTATTTTACATCTTATTTACTATGAACGTGATGTAACAACGACAATAACGAACCCATTAGATATACAAAAACAATATGTTATGACAAGCACATGAAGTTACATCATATAACCCAGGATATCGGGCCACAATGAGGTCGATAATTAAAACAGTTGTCATGCCCAAATTTCCACTGTAAAGAGAAGTACGCAACAGTAGGCCGGCCTCCGAGCTCTTCTGATTGGTCCACTGCTTTTGGATCAAACTGTGCTGATCTGAGCTGCGCTGAAAGTTAAAGATCTTTTAACTTGAAATGACTCCAGCGTAACGATCAAACACATCCATACAGCACGATCACTCTGAAAAACAATAGAAAAGTAGCGCATTGGAGAGGAAGAACGCATTCTGTGTGAATGTATCTCCTCCTGTGCTTCAGCCTCTGTCTGGCACAATACAGTGCTCTACATCCATGCAGCTTGATAAATGTCCTCGTGCAGATCAGAGGAAACCACTGAGGCATCACTGCGCTGTATTTTAGTGATGTGACTTTACTGTCGCATTGGATAAGTTTGGTATATCAGCTGTCTTTTCTGATTTCTCTTGCACAGGACATTGGTTTACTCTGGTTGTGTTTAATGGTGCTACATATAAAAACCTGGCATCTACTGTTTTCCTTTGATTTGGTGCCATTCAATGGAAAACTGTATACCTAGGAATAGTTGAGACCGAGGATGGGTGGGGTAGTCGAGCAATCAGTAAGTGAAGTGGAGGGGGTCGGGTCTGGGTGGTGGGCTTGTTGCTCTGTTGGTGTTGTGTGTGGATTATTTATTTATGAAATATTTATAGACTGTATATGTAACCCCACCGGTCCTACACCACCCGACCCGCTCCGAGCTGGTATCGAACCGGCGACCTTCCGCATGAGAGTCGGTTGCTCTACCAAGGAGGCTAAAGACCATGGCCTCTAGCGAGGCTTACCTGCACAACACTTACTAGTTGGCCTCTGTTACATATACACATAGTATTAAAATGACCATTTAAATCATACACTACAGTCATATTAGATCATCAATTCCCCTATAGCCAACCCAAGTTCATTCTGAAAAAGTAGCCCCGCGGACGTTTCTGGAGAGCGTTTTTCATCGCTCGCTGGCTGCGATGGCTCACCTCCGTGTGAAGGACTTTCCTGCCGCAACCAGTTTGTCCGCTTAGCTCGCAGTGTTACGTCGGTGGAGCAGAGGCCCGGAGGAGGAGCCTGCCAGGGCGATGAACGGATTCGAGTCCAGGGAAGAGCGGTTCCAGAAATCAGGTAAGATGAAAAACAGAATCCAAAAAATAAAAGCGAACGAGTTCGTGACAGGGCCAGCATGCGGCGAAACCCAAAAACGCGGTCAAAATCAGATGAGGGCTTGTTTTTTTTTTTTATTTCTGGACAACTTTTGTAAATCGTCACTTGGGTTTAGGGAAGGAGGAGGAGAGCGGCTGGGTTGGCCGATTGGCTGATTGGCCGGCTGCCCAGTCGATCATTCAGTCCGTCAGTCGGACAGATGGTCGCTTGACAGCAGCCTCCGGTGGCTTTTCGTGCGAGAACAGCACGGGCGGGAACGGCGCACGCTCCTGAGAGGCATTCGAGACGCGAAAAATCGTGGCACAGCGGCCTCTTGCGGATTCGCGAAAACAAAAATTTGTTTGATTGCACAAATACAAATCCGCGGGGCTAAGTTTCCACAATGAGCCTGGGATGCCTATAGCGCATGTGTTTTGACTGTGGGGGAAGGAGAACATGCAAACTCCACACAGAAATGACAGCTGGTCCAGTCGGGACTCGAACCAGCGACCTTCTTGCTGTGAGGCGACAGTGCCAACCTTCGAGCCAAAAATTGGGGTTATGTAGCTATATAAATTTGATATGAAATTACTTTTCAATTAACCCTTTAGTAATATTAATTAACTAAGTCCCTTCTTAGACTTTACAGACCTGAAACTTGCCTATAGCACTTATTCATTGTTGCTCTTAGTTGTGTAAATTGCTTCCTTGTCCTCATTTGTAAGTCGCTTTGGATAAAAGCGTCTGCTAAATGACTAAATGTAAATGTAAATGTACTTACTATATGATTGGGGTTAGAATGTGGGTTAGGTTTAGGGTTTGTTACATGTAATTATGCATGATTCGTTGTAGTTACTATACTAAGTACTAAATTAAATTTAAAGTGTTACTGCAGTCTGTTCCGTTTCAAGAAGTTTGATTGTTTGTTATTTCACATGTCAGGTGTTACAGGGCTAAATGTGTTCGATATCTGTCACCAGCTCGGTCCCAGTTATTCCCTTCACTGGCCAGCAGAGGTCTCTCTCACCGGACTTCTAACACAACGGCTGCGCCCGAAACCGCCCACTACTCAGTAGGTACTGCATTTGAATTTAAACGTACTACTCGGCCGTTAGAAAAGTGCGTTCTATACAGTATGAATGTGAAAAGTATGAATGGAATTCGGACGTAGTACATCCGCCATGTTGTCATGGTCAAGTGTCCTACCTGCGTTAGTTGCATCGCCTCACTTCCATTTATGAATTCTCACGCGGGGCATTATGGGATAGTGCTGCGTGCATGGGATGCACACTCCAGAATCTCGACGGAAGTCGTAAGTCATACGGGTACTTCTCGCATACTGATTTTCGAATTCTATGAATTCGGACGTACTTTTAGCGTACTATATAGTATGGAAGTATGCGGTTTCGGACGCAGCCTACATCCCCCAGAAGCCCCGAATCTGTCACTGAGTGTGCTGCACCTGACTCTGATCACACACACTGCCATATAAGCAGCACCCACGCTCACTTCATTGCGAAGTCTTGTTTGCCCGGTCAACATTACCAAGCGGTTCTCCTTGTATTATTATTGTTTGCCTGTTACTGACCTGGACTGCTCTCGACCTTGTTTTCCTTTCCCGACCCTCTGCTTTCTTAACTACTTAAGCTGCCATCCCTGATCTATGCCAGTTACAACGACCAACGAGTGTTTGCTGCCTGCCTTTAGACTATCTATGCCTGATCCTCATGTGAGTGTCTATAACAACATTTGGCGTGGATTTCTGATTCTACTGATCTCAATAAACATACTGCAGACGGATCCCTCTGTGTCAGCTTCCTCGTTACAATATCGGTATATTCACCTTGCTGATGGCAGTGCAGATAAACGATTTCCTCTAGACGGATGGTCATCGCGAAATCCCAATAAACACTATGGAGAGAATAAAGAGACAGCATTGTGGCCTTAAAATAAATATTCTTAAAATACTTTCTAAATAATAAATCATCAGTCAAGGTATTTTGAAATGCCCAGGATATTGTGCATGCTTATTATCACGATGTAAACAGAATTATTGAATATCTACTTAATGCATCACCTCTTTTCATAATCAAACTCTGTGTTTCCGTTCATCAGCTGGTTCGGCGTCCATTTCAGCGTCATGAGATCTGCCGTCTGGTGTAGAGAAAGGTATCCTGGGATTGCTTCCATGTCGTCTGTCTAAAAGAGCAGATTTATTGCCACACTTTCATTAAAATAGCATATCTCTGCCAAACATCTCTGTAGCTGACTTACCGGCTGCACGAGGACATTGTTCTTCCCGAAGAGCAGCGTGGCTCTGGAGTTTTGATGAAGGGATTCGACGTAATCCCGAGCCCAGAGAGAAGGCCTGTCATCCATACTGCCGCTCGACTGCCTCTTCTGAATCTACAAAACATTTCATGGATAACATGGATATAGATATAAACAGTTCACTTCATTGGAGCTCTGCACTGGCCTTAAATTTAAGCCCAGCCCTGGCCTGAGACGCAGAGGTTGTAGCCTGGCCCTTGCCCAACAGCTCATTGGCCCGAGTCCGACCCGAAGCCGGTTTTTTTTCCATCAACCAGCTTACACTGTTAAAGCCATTAAAAAAGACCAGATTTGTATTTAATAGACAGTTGATGTTTTTTCGTTTAGTTTTTTATCAGAATAATTTAGAGAAACGTTTGTAGTTTTTTTTGTTTGTTTTTGTAAATGCAAGATTTAGTTTAAGTGATATCGAAATTCAAGCGGTATGTTGTCCATGTTGCAATCAGGCTCATTCTGAAAACGTCCCGCAGACATTTCTGGAGACCGCAACTTACGTAGCCGGAGGTAAGCATGGCTGCGTTTCATTTTCTTAGGCGAACGCTGCGGGGCAGTATGTCGTTCCTTTTCGAGCTTACCAGCTGACCATTTACCTCCGTGTGGAGGGTTTTCCCGTCACAACCAGTTTGTCCAATTAGCTCGTCGTGTACGTCGGCGGACTTGAGATACAGAACTGACCACGATGACGACAGGGTTCGAGTCCGGGGAAGAGCGATTCCAGAAATCCGGTAAGACAAAAACAGAATACAAAAAATAAAGTGAACGAGTTCATAACAGAGTGAGAATATGGTGAAATCCGAAAACGTGGTAAAAAAATCAGACGAAGGCTTTTCTGGTTGGCTTTTGTAAATTGTTGGTTGGGTTTAGGGAAGTAAATGGGTGTGCAGGTCAATCGATAAAATAGGTTGGGTTTAGGGAAGAAAGAGGGTGAGCCGGCCGGTCAGGGCCGGAGCAAGCTGAACTGCCACTCTGGGCAGAGGACGATCACGCCGCCCTCACCCCAATGTGAAAACGAAAGTGACCGGTTATGAAAATGAAGTGAGGTGTTGCGGACCTCTATTCTGCCGCCTTATGCGCGGATATAACTGAGAATGCGCGGGTGCTGATGGAGGTGTCGCGGACACCGCGCTCTCTATTCTGCCGGCCTATGCGAGGATATAACCGAGGACGCGCGGGTCTCGCGGACCTCTATTCTGCCGCACTATGCGCGGATATAACTGAGGACACGCGGGTGCTGATGGAGGTGTCGCTGACGCCGCCCTCTCTATTCTAGCATCTATGCGCGAATATATCTGAGGACGCGGGTGGTGAGGGAGGTGCCAGGGACATAACTGAGGACGCGGGTGGTAAGGGAGGTGTCACGGATGCCGCCCTCTCTATACTGCCGCCCTAGGCGGCCGCCTAGGTCGCCTCTATGGACGCGCCGGTCCTGCGGCCGGTCCAGTCAACCATTCAGTCAGTCAGACAGACGGTCGTTTGACAGCGGCCTCTGGTAGGTTTACACGAGTACAGCGTATGCGCGATCAGCACTCGCGAGAGACATTTGAGATAAAATCTGTCATATAGTTGCTCATTTTTTTATGTATCGTGATCGAGCCTCATTTTGTGCATATCAAATCGCAAAATCCAAAAAAGCCACACACCATATATTTTTGACTGTTTTGAATGGAGACATTTTTTTACCCATTTTTCCATAATAAAATATTTTGGTGGGTCTTGAGATTGAATTACTTGCCTAGGTGGGTCCCGGAATAAAAAAGTTTGGGAATGCCTGCTCTACTGAATGAACAGTTGAAGTCCAAATTAGCCTTGTGATTTATTCTTATTCCTGTGATTTTTCTTTTTCAAGTATTTCCCAAATGATGTTGAACAGATTCAGGTATTTTTGACAGTATTTCCTCCAATATTTTTTCTTCTGAAGAAAGTCTTACTTGTTTTATTTCGGTCCTGCATCTAAAGCAGTATCAGCCTCGGTTTCTGATTCGAGAAATGACCACTGCATAATCTCATGGCCTGAATCCAAGCATTAAATATGAGAAGTGTGTCTTACGAGAGCCGGACGTTTAGTGGGCGAGTCCTGCCGGCAGTGTCCGCTGTGAATGCGGTGTCTCTGCACCAGCTCATCAGCTGACGGATCCGTCCAGAAGTGATTGGCTGTCTTTGCTTTGGTGTACTCCAGTGCGCAGGGACCCACTGAATGTAAGACCATCACAACATTTCAGTTACACAAGACATTTTTGAACATGACAAGATGCTGTACAAATGCTGAAACGTCATTAAAAATAACAATACTGATACCTAGCAGAGATGCGAGGATTGGGCCGTCAACGGGATCTCGCAGAAGAGCTTCCCTTTCGTAAAACTTACTGAAATACAATAAAATAAAGCGAATACAACTTACTGGAACACATCAAGACATTCAAACATGTCTCATTATTTGATCCTAATCTGCCAAGGAAACAATAAAATGTGTACAAAAGCTGGATTAAGTATACAAAATAATTTAATTAAATATATTGACAATATAATCTAATGTTCATTCATTAATTCATTTTCTGCCGCTTTTCCGGGGCCGGGTCGCGGGGGCAGCAGTCTTAGGAGAGAACCCCAGACTTCCCTCTCCCCAGACACTTCCTCCAGCTCTTCTGGGGGGATCCCGAGGCGTTCCCAGGCCAGCCGAGAGACATAGTCCCTCCAGCGTGTCCTGGGTCTTCCCTAAGGCCGCCTCCCGGTGGGACATGTCTGGAACACCTCCGTAGGTAGGCGTCCAGGAGGCATCCGAAACAGATGCTCGAGCCACCTCTGCTGACTTCTCTCGATGTGGAGGAGCAACAGCTCTACTCCAAGCTCCTCCCGGGTGTCAGAGCTCCTCACCCTATCCATAAGAGTGCGCCCTGCCACCCTTCGAAGGAAACTCATTTCGGCCGCTTGTATCCGAGATCTTGTGCTTTCGATCATGACCAAAAGCTCATGACCATAGGTGAGAGTAGGAACGTAGATTGACCGGTAAATCAAGAGCTTTGCCTTTCAGCTCAGCTCCTTCTTGACCACAACGAACCGATACATCGACCACATTTCTGCACCAATCCGCCTGTCAATCTCATGTTCCATCTTTCCCTTACTCGTGAACAAAACCCCGAGATACTTAAACTTGGGGTAAGGACTTTCCTCCAACCTGGAGATGGCGAACCACCTTTTCCAGTGGAGCACCATGGCCTCGGACTTGAAGGTGCTGATTCTCATCCCAGCCACGTCACACTTAGCAGCAAACCACCCCAGTGCATGCTGAAGGTCCATGTGTGATGAAGCCAACAGAACAACATCGTCCGTGAATAACAGATGAAATCCTTTGGTCCCAGAACCGGACCCCCTCCATTCCAAGGCTGCGCCTTGAAATTCTGTCCATAAAAATTATGAATAAAATTGGTGACAAAGGGCAGCCCTGCCGTAGTCCAACCTGCACTCGAAACAAATCTGACTTATTGCCGGCAATGTGAACCAGACTCAGGGACGAAACGGCCCTCAACAGATCACCTCTGACCCCCATACTCCCCGAGCACCCTCCACAGAATGCCACGAGGGACACAGTCGAATCTCTCCAAGTCCTCAAAACACATGTGGACTGGTTGGGCATACTCCCATGAACCCTCGAGCACCCTGGTGAGGGTATAGAGCTGGTCCAGTGTGCCGTGGCCCGGACCAAAAAACCGCATTGTTCCTCCTGGATCCTAGGTTCAACCATAGACTTTCCCCGGGAGGCAGTTTAGCCTAAAGTACCAACATACCTGTTTTGTTTTTTTTATTTTAAGTCGAACTGAAGTAAATCAATTAAATCACCGTCTATAAAAAACATATGTACCTTTAAGTCAATGTTTTGAAAAGGAAAGGCACGGTAGTTTGACTGTGTTTAGTGTAGTCTGCATCAACACAACATTGGTCATCATTGAATTGTTCACCTGCTGTTCTCCACCAGGTACAGGACGATCTTGTCCAGCAGCTTCTGTGTGAGCGCAGTGCGGATCCAGAGGTGTTTGATGGCCAGAGGAGACAGGTTTGGCGGCCTGGGCTGCTTTCGGACACTCTCCTGACTCATCTGGCTCTGGTTTTGTCTTGTGTTGGGAAAATTAAAAACATAATTACTGAAAAGCAAGTTCGCTTAGACCAGAGGTGTCCAAACTCGGTCCTGGAGGGCCGGTTTCCTGCAGAGTTTAGCTCCAACTTGCTTCTGCTAGGAAGTTTCTAGTATATCTAGTAAGAGCTTGATTAGCTGCTTCATGTGTGTTTGATTAGGGTTGGAGCTAAACTCTGTTGTATAGCACCTTTGAAAAAAATGGCACAGACAATGAAAACAAATTAATCCAGAAATATGTGACTTTGACCAAAGCATTAGAGGTGAGCGCTGTTTCTCACTTGTTTTCAATGATTTGTTCCAGCTCCTGCACCTTTCGGCAGAGATCCTCTGCTGGAGGGAACATCTTGCCCACCTTCATAAACAGAGCCGCCAGTTTGTTGCTGCGCAGGAATCCAGCGGCCCGTCGCTTCAGCCCATGAAGAACACACGCTTCCACAACCCCTGCACAGAGAACACACAGGTATACAGTACAATATACAGCAGAACTATCATTAACGCAATAATAGTATATGCAATATACAGTTGAATTCAGATCTATTAGCCCTCCTGAATTATTTAGCCCCCCTTTATATAATTTTCCCCCAATTTCTGTTTAACGGAGAGCAGATTTTTTCAACACATTTCTAATCATAACAGTTTTAATAACTCATCTCTAATAACTGATTTATTTTCTCTGTGCCATGATGACGGCACTTAATATTAGACTAGATATTCTTCAAGACACTTGTATTCAGCTTAAAGTGACATTTAAAGGCTTTACTAGGGTAATCAGGGTAAAGTTAGGGTAATTAGGCAAGTCATTGTTTAACAGTGGTTTGTTCTGGAGACAATCCAAAACTAATATTGCTTAATATCACTAATATTGACCTTAAAATGAGTTTAAAACAATTACAAACTGCTTTTATTCTAGCCGAAATAAAGACTTTTTCCAGGGGGGGAAATATTATAGGAAATACTGTGAACAATTCCTGAATCTGTTCAACATCAACTTCAACTGTAGGGATCACAGTTGTGTGATGAATTGATTTAATTCACCCCCCAATCAGATGGGGCTGTATAATCTTTAGCCCCGCCTCCCTTGTAGTTGGAGTTCTGCTATTGGCTGGAGCCCTCGAAGCTGAAGCCAAAGCTGAAAATAAACATTAATGGCGGGAAAATGACAACAGCCAATCCGAGTCAGAATATCTGTGCAGGTTTTTACTCATTCATAATGTTTTAAAGACTAAGGGCCGTATCATACACCCGGCGCAAGATGTGTATGGTGCGATTTGCTGCTATTTTCAGACCAGCGCAACAGTAATTTTCACGTTTTGCACCACGTTGTTTTAATAGCAAATCCATTTGCGCCACTTTATGCACTCATGTGTGTGCTGGTCTATAGGGGAGGTGTGTTAAGGCGCATTGTTGAAGCGCTGCTATTTTGAGGAACTGAAATAGACTGCAATAGACCTACTAAAAGCTGCTCTAAAGTCCAGTGTTAGTTATGCGCCTATGCAGGTCTAAACACTTACACACTGCTGATTACACACAGGATGATCAGCAACACACACATATCTTTACAGATGAACACAATTAAATGATTAAAATGATCCAGAAATTATGAGTTTCTTCATCAAAATAAACACTACTGCCTCCATGCCTTCTTCGCCTCGGGGGGCTTTTTCAGTTTATCCATGACGATCTGCATCTGTATAATGTGATTTTTATTAGCAGTGTTATTGATTATATGCAGATTTATATTTGTTTTAATGTAAACAAGAGTAGATTTGTCCACCTGTGGGGTTTTGGAGACGCCTGCATCAGCATATGAGGATAAGAACAGGACGTGTGTTTGGAGATAACTCAGTTTTCTGACCACACTTTGTTGTTATTGTTCATTTATACCTTTGCTGGAGATTAAAACTGAATTTAGAAATAGTTTTGACACAAATCTTTATGCTTAACAAACTAAATTAAATATGTGGGCTAATGGATGTGCTCAGTGCAGTGAGTTTCCACCGTTTCCTCACTCCACTAAAGTAAAGGAGTAAAGTAAAGGAGTAAAGTAAAGAGGCTGAATGGAGGAGGCTCGTTCTTTATCCTCGCGCTGCAGATGCTCTGTTTAACCGTTTTCTCGTTAGTGAAGCGTTCAGATATTACACTTACAAAGTCAGCCATGTAAATAGCAAATGTGCCATGCAGCGACGCAACTGACTCTTAAAGGGAATGAGAGACGAGACTCTGATTGGTTAAATTCACATTATGCTCTAAACACACCCAGAACTCATTAAGAGAATAAGCACAGCCCTGTTAGAGCGTATTTTACCATAATATTATAGCAAAAGTGGATTCAGACCCGCCCTTAATGCTTTTGCGCCATGTGTTTTAGACTTTGACAGTTAAAATAGAGCCCTAAATGTTTGCACCTCGACACCTCTTTTTTCTAAAGATCTAAAAAATACCTGTTCATTTTAATATCATTAAACAAATGAATGACTTCGAAAACACAGCTAATAAAAATACAGGTTTTCTAGGGAAATTTTATATCGTAAAAAACAAAAATACCGTTACCGCAATACTCGACAACATTATCGAATATATTCCTATACATTCATTCATTTCCATTCGGCTTAGTCTGTATTTCAGAGACCGCCACAGCGGAATGAACCACCAACTATTCCAGCATATGTTTTACGCAGCAGATGCCCTTTCAGCTGCAACCCAGTAATGGGAAACACTCACATTCACACACACATTTATTCATCAACTTAGTTCATCAGTTCCCCTATGGCGCATGTGTTTGGACTGTAGGGGAAACCGGAGCACCGGGAGGTAACCCAATGCCATTACAGGGAGAACATTCAAACTCCACACAGAAATGACCCAGACAGGACTCGAACCAGCGACCTTCTTGCTGTGAGGCCACAGTGCAGACCACTGAGCCACCGTGCTGCCCCAGGTATTAAAAAATATACAAGAACCATTACTTGCCAAAGCATGTAAAGGTGTCTGTTGTTAACACTCACTAGTGAATGTTTCACACCAGCCCTGAACACCGCACGAACGCATCCTGAGACTCCTCGCAGTGTTTATTCACTCAGTTGCAGAAGTAAGTCAATAATCTGCTGGTGCGCCGTCAGGAACAGATTGTTAGATGGAGGTGGTTTGACGAGCGGATATGATGTGTGCCATCAGTCAGACTCTCATAACCCATAACAGTAATGAGGTGTCCTTCAGCAGCCCACTCACCATACTGACACACACGCACACATCACTTTATTAAACACTACTGAGGGAAAGAGCACACTACAAGCTACTTTACCAAGGAAAATACTTATTCGTCACATGCAAAAGCGTATAATGTTTGTGTATATGCTAAAAAAAGGGGTATAATAGTGAAACTAAAACTATGAAACTAAAAATAACTCCAAAATCAACAGCATAGAATTTTAGTTACTCGAAATGGTCACACTTTAAAACAAGGTTCCATTAGTTTATGTTACTTAATGCATTTTATAATATGAACTAATAATAAACAATACTTTTAATAAGCATTTAATAATCATGGTTCATCTAATGTGTTAGTAATATCCAAAGTTGTCCGGTGGGTTAACAGGAACTAACACTTCATATATTCATTTTTCTTTCGGCTTAGTCCCTCTAATTTAACAGGGGATGAACTGCCAACTATTCCAGCATAAGTTTTATGCTTTATCAACTGCAACCCAGTACTGGGAAACACCCAATACTCTCTCTTTCACACACACACACACACTCACACTCATATACTACAGGCATTTTAGTGAAACCAATTCCCCTATAGCGCATGTGTTTGGACTGTGGGGGAAACCGGAGCACCCTGAGGAAACTCACGCCAACACGGGGAGAACATGCAAACTCCACACAGAAATGACAACTGACCCAGCTGGGAGTCGAAGCAGGGGCCTTCTTGCTGTGAGGCGACAGTGCCATCCCAGAACTAACAATGATTGACTGTATTAATATGTAATAAATGTATTGCATGTTGTTTGTTTATGTTAATAAATCCATTAATTAACATTAACTAATGCAACCTCATTGTAAAGTGTGTGACCCTTAAAATAAATAAACGTTACCTCAAAAAAATAGTAAAAATCTTTAACTTTAATTTTAACTTACAAAATAAAATAATAATATTAAATAAATATATAAATGTATATAACTGAAAAATAAAACACAATAAAATTAAGACTATATATATATATATATATATATATATATATATATATATATATATATATATATATATATATATATATATATATATATATATATATAAGAAAATATTTCTAATTCTAAATACTTAATAAATTTAAAATACCAATAAAAAGGTTTAAAGTATGGCGATGATACTAAAATAAAAGATATAATAAAAAATGTAAAATAATAAAATAATAAATAAATACACACATTAAGTTCAATTATAATTTAAAATAATAATAATAATAATAATAATAAAAATAAATCGAGCCACTGCCAAAACAACAGTTTTCATTTTCACTTAGTTGTAAAGTTAATAAATAAATAAACAATACAAATAAAATAAATAATAAAAAACATTAAATTAATAAAACTTTACTCAATTTAAAATCAAAACAAAATATCAAAAAATGTTATTCAAAACACTTAAAGTAAACACAAGACAAATAAAAATGTTTATAGTATCTTAATGATTCTACAATAACACTACTAACTATATATTATAAAACTATATAATACAACAATAATACTACTAAACTACTGCACATATTTTAAAAAACTTACAGCTACTAACAAGAATGATAATTATAATTCAATACAAAAATTATAAATAAATAGTCATTAATTACAATTCATCCATTAATAATAATAAATCAAACAACATAGAATTTACTCAAATGCAAATAAAATGAACATAACTATAAAAATCTGAAAAAACGAAATATCATCTCACCGCAGAAAGAGATGATGTGACTGCTGTCTTCATGCACAAACTTGCGTGTCACGGCCTCCTCCATGATCTGCTTGACCTGAAAATCCAACAAGGTTTAATCCAACAAACTGAAATAACGCTCCGCCCCCTACTCAATATTCCATCTCAGTTGGGAGTACATGCAAATATTAAATAAAGCCCCGCCCCCTAATCAGTATTCCATTTCTGTTTAAGCACATCAAAACACTGAAATGAAGCTCCGCCCCCCACTAAATATTCCATTTCAATTGGAAGTACATCAACACACTGAAATAAAGCCCCGCCCCCTACTCAATATTCTGTTTCAGATGGAAGTACATGAAAACATTAAAATAAAGCCCCGCCCCTGCTAAATATTCTGTTTTAGTTGGAAGTACATCAACATACCGAAGTAAAGCCCCCCCCCCACTCAATATTCCATTTCAGTTGAAGCACTTCAAAACACTGAAATGAAGCTCCGCCCCTACTCAATATTCCATTTCAGTTGAAGTACATCAACACACTGTAATAAAGCCCCGCCCCCTACTTAATATTCAATTTCAGTTTAAGTACATCAATACACTGAAATAACGCCCCGCCCCTACTCAATATTCAGTTTCAGTTGAAGTACATCAACACAATAAAATAAAGCCCCGCCCCCTACTCAATATTCCATTTCAGTTGGAAGCACATCAACATACTGAAATAAAAGTACGCTCATTTAAGGCAGATTGGCAACAGAACAATTCACCATGCCTGAATCATTAAGGAGGAAAATGCTACTTAATTTCTGCTAGTGTCTTGGCCTGTACATTGATCTGACATGAACCCAATTGAGCATTTTTGGTTCAACTTCACCACCACCCAGCTATGTGCAGGAACTTTGAGGAGTTTTAACATTACAGTATCTACCACAGAAGACCATTCATCAGCTCACTGTATATATTCATAACTTCCAGATATCACGTTTTTATGTTGTGTATTGATGATTACTACCTAAAAATGCAAGGTTATTTGACCCAATTCTTGGTGTTATATATACGGACTGAACCAGGGTAAATTTTTTTGTAATTAAATTAATAGGTCCAAATGTAACCTAATGTTTGGGTTAGTCCACATGTTATTCAATTTGGGTTTAAATAGCCCAGCTTTCTTAGAGTGTACAATTGGAACAAACATGATTTTTTATATGACAAAAACTCATTTATTTCAGTATGTAAACACAAACAATCTATAAATATACATATGGACACACTTTATTTTAAGCCAAAATTCTTGCTATAAATGATGACTTTTACCTCAAAAAAAGGTAAATAAACTCCTTATTAATAGTCATCAGGTAGTAGTAAAGGTTACGTATGTGTAAGATTAGGATAAGATTATGCAGAATATATACTGTACTTTATAAGTACTAATAAACAGACAATATCTTAATAATATGCAGGTAATTAGCCAAAATATATATAGCACCACTGTATTATCATATATAATGTTAGGGTTAGTCCAAATTTTTAAATAACCCAGCATTCCTTAGAGTGTACAATTGAAACAAACATGACTTTTAAACATTTTTTAAATGATAATTTTCAGAAATTGTGTTTTATTATTAGTATTGAAGTGTACAACTGCAAAAATAAACTGTTTCTGAAACATCCTAACAATGCTACTGATCTGTTTTTGGCAAATTAACTCTTCATGATTCACTTAAGTTGCTAACAACGTGATGTTCGCTTATAATTAGTATGTCGTGTGATGATTATTAATGAATGTAAATAAAAACATTCTTCATTTATATGAATAAGTGAATCAGACAAACGCTGCATTTGCATAATCAAGAACATTCTTTGAAGTACTACACAAATATAATGATATATAAACACAATCCAGACACAGTATACATAAAAATATGGTCACAGTTTATTTGAAGGTGCAATTCTTGCTATTAACTATGACTTTTCCCTCAATAAACTCCTGATTTATAGTTGTTATGGTGATAGTTGGGTTTAGGATTGGGTGGGATTGAATCATGCAGGATATATACATCATAAGTACAAATAAACAGACAATATCTTAATAACATGCAGGTAATTTGTGTTTTACTGCTACTACTACTACTAATAAGCCAAAATATAGATTGCACAACTGTATTATCATATATGATGTTTGGGTTAGTCCATATTTTTAAATAACCCAGCATTCCAGTTGGAACAAACATGATTTTTAAACATTTTCTAAATGATAATTTTCAGAAATTGTGTTTTATTATTACTATTTAAGTGTACAAGTGCAAAAAAAACTGTTTCTGAAACATCCTAACAATACTACTGATCTGTTTTTGGCAAATTAACTCTCCACGATTCACTCAAGTTGCTACAATGTGATGTTCGCTTATAATTAGTATGTCGTGTGATGATTAATAATGAGTGTAAATAAAAACATTCTTCATTTATATGAATAAGTAATACATAAATATAATATAAACACAATCTAGACACAGTATACATAAAAAATATGGTCACAGTGTATTTAAAGGTGCAATTCTTGCTATTAACTATGACATTTCCCTCAATAAACTCCTGATTTATAGTTAATATGGTGATAGTTGGGTTTAGTATTGGGTGAGATTGAATCATGCAGGATAAATACTTTATAAGTACTAATAAACAGACAATATCTTAATAGCATGCAGGTAATTTGTGTTTTACTGCTACTACTACTACTAATAAGCCAAAATATATATAGCACCACTGTATTATCATATATAATGTTTGGGTTAGTCTATATTTTTAAATAACCCTGCATTTCTTAGAGTGTACAATTGAAACAAACATGACTTTTAAACATTTTTTTAAATGATAATTTTCAGAAATTGTGTTTTATTATTCGTATTGAAGTGTACAACTGCAAAAAAACAGTTTCTGAAACATCCTAACAATACTACTGATCTGTTTTTGGCAAATTAACTTCACGATTCACTCAAGTTGCTACAACGTGATGTTCGCTTATAATTAGTATGTCGTGTGATGATTAATAATGAGTGTAAACAAAAACATTCTTCATTTATATAAATAAGTAATATATAAATATAATATAAACACAATCCAGACACAGTATGCATAAAAATATGGTCACAGTTTATTTAAAGGTGCAATTCTTGCTATTAACTATGACTTTTCCCTCAATAAACTCCTGATTTATAGTTAATATGGTCACAGTTGGGTTTAGTATTGGGTGACATGGAATCATGCAGGATAAATACTTTATAAGTACTAATAAACAGACAATATCTTAATAACATGCAGGTAATAAGCCACTAGTTAATAGTGAGAATTGGTAATTAAACTAACGTGTAACCAAAACTATAGGACCACTGTATTATCATATTCATAACACAAATATGAAAGACTCCAGCATTATCTTTTGATAAACCTTGTTAATTATGCGCTGACTAAATGAATGGCTGTGACAGAGATGTCAGTACTCTTAATAAACACCCCACACACACACACACACACACACACACACACACACACACACACACACACACACACACACACACACACACACACACACACACACACACTGTCGTATGTTTCTATACATCCCAATATCCGAAACAATTCCCGGTTATAAAAGCGACTCAATTAGCATGACACGTCTTCATCATCATCATCATCATCATCATCATCATCACATTGGACTCTTTAAGAAAGCAAATGGCTGAAGAAGGCATGATTCACTCTGGTGCCAAGAGGACAAACGCAGCAATGACCTTGTTTACATGCTCTTCTATTAGAAAAGCACACCGTGTGATCATGAGGACACGTAAACACTGCATTATGATGATGATGGTGATGGTGATGATGATGATCGGACAGGTGATGTGTGTGTCAGTGCACAGATTTGACACATTCACCACCTGCAGATTGCCACCATGATCATATCGAGCGATGCACAGCCTGTATTGATCATCCATAGACAATATCTGATAAACGGTAATCACATATAAACACACACACACAACAGCAAGTCTCCCACCTCCTTCTTGACGTTGCGCAGCAGCCTCTGACGCGTTTCTGATTCTGTAAACAAACACACACACACACATACATATAGCTATATATAGACAGATATTGTACATTTAGCTGTTCGTTTTCAAAACAAAAGCTGGATGTCTGACCTCCCATGGTTGCAGTCTTATGGGCTACTCCGTGTGTGTGAGGACGGATGGATGTGCGCAGGATGACAGTGTGTGTCCTCGTGAGTCAGAGCTGCGCGCGCAGGGTGTGGCGACTCACAACACCACCATCATCATCATCATCATCATTCCCCTAAATATAAATAAATATGACTGATGTCCCGGCGACGTCTCCGCGATGTCCCGGCGATCTTGCGATGCTGGAGTTCACAAGCGCTTCTTCTTCTTATCTCTCACTAGTAAGTCAGGTTGATGATGTTTTTGAGAGCTGCTCCGCACAACCCGCTGCGATTGGACACACTGAGCGCCAATCAGCGAGGCGAGCAGCTCTGCGGACACGCCCACTTCTGTAGCTCTGCACGCAGATCACACATGCGGAGAACAGGCGACACTTTTACATCATGCACCTGCTGCACATCTGCTCATCGTGTGCTTGCGTGTTTATTTATTTACCATTTATAAGATGTGTGATGCAAATAACCAAATAACAATAATATAATGATAATAAAGATAGAATTAAAAATAAATAAATATATCCAACACATGCAGCATATTTCTATAAACATGAATACAAAATGTAGCTATATAACTTATGCAGCGCACTTATTTATATTCATTACTTCTTATTTATTTTACATTACGTTATTCAGTTTTATTTTCATGCTATAGTAATTTGTTCATTCTTACATTAATTTATAATAATTTCTTAATAATAACTTTCATTCTTTCATTTAGCTTCAGCTTAGTGCCTTGTTTATCAGGGGTCGCCACAGAGGAATGAACCTCCAACTATTCCGGCATATGTTTTACACAGTGGATGCCCTTCCAGCCACACCCACTGGGAAATATCCAAACGCACTCATTCACAGATACTCATACACTACGGCCAATTTAGTTCATCAGTTCCCCATAGTGGATGCGTTTGGACTGTGGGAAACACTGGAGCAGTCGGGACTTGAATCAGCAAACTTCTTGCTGTTGAGCGATAGAGTTAACCACTCTGCCACCATGTCGCCAATGTATTATATCTATACAAATTTTAAACACCTTTTGTTCATACCAAAATGTTTTTCTCCTTTTTTTTATCTATTTAAAATAAAACTTAATCTAATGTAAAGTCTCTCTCCCTCTCTCAGTTCAATTCAATTCAATAGTTGCTTTATTGGCCTGACAAATGTTACATATGTTTTGCCAAAGCAGTTGTAAAGTTACATAAAAATAAAAGAATATACATATTTAATAAAAAAACACGTAAACACATTAAATAGTAGTAGTAGTAGTGGTAAAAAAGATATATACATATAATAATTAAATAAAAATATAAATAATATATCATATTGTAATTTAATATATCATATCATAATTCAATTTATCATCTTATTTTCCAATATATCTTATTATTATCCGAAATATTATATCATTCATATCGCACTATTCATTTATAACAATAAAATAATAATAGATCAGAATACACTGCACATTTAACAATCAACATATTAGGATAAAACAGTAACAACAACAATAATAATCAGTATATTTACAATGATTAATTTATAATCATCTAGATGTGCGTGTGCGTATGTGTGTGTGTGTGTGTGTGTGTGTGTTTGCATGTTTGCAAGCGTATCCTCTCTCTCTCTCTCTCTCTCTCTCTCTCTCTCTCTCTCTCTTCATATATACTTATATTAATAAATATGTCATAATTTAGTAATTTTTCATATAATAAGTCACAGTTTTATTTTATATGGAATATTATTATATATTTTTTTCAAGTTTCTTATGCTGTAATGCTATTTTTATATTTTATATTATATTGATATTATGTTTAATTTTATTCATTTAAAAATTAAGCTATTGATTATTCCTGTCATTTTAAGTATTACTATTCTCATGATTTTATTTCTATTGTCAATTTTACTATTATCATTATTAAAGAAAGTGTGTTTTTTTAAATGAGTAAATTGAATATGTGTTCATTATTCATTTGCATGGTGGCTTACATTATTTTTTATTATTAATCGAGCTTTTAATAATTAACTGATTAATATATAACTGATTATATATATATATATATATATATATATATATATATATATATATATATATATATATATATATATATAAAAATATATATATAAAAATATATATATATATATACTACATCATTAAATATAATAAGTATATACTACTTTATATATTAAGTATATAAACACTACATTATTAAATATTGATTGATATATTTATTAAGGTTTAACGCAGGTGACTTTTATTTTGAAGCACAGCGGTGTTTTGCGTGCGTTTCAGCGCGCTTCACGGGCACTGCTGCAGTCACACACGCACGCGCTTGGCGGGAGTCACTGAAGTCCACAAACTCTCATCCTTCTTTCGCTTTCAGCTGATATTTTATGAACATTATTTTTCGGCCTGTGGTGAGTTGTCTTAATCAGTGTTTAATGAGAGCTCAGGTAAAGCGCTGTCTAGTATGTTCCCCATCTACCGGCTACTGTTGTATTTTGAATTAGCTGTGCGGCTAATGCTATTCAACATGTTTTGTTGTCAAATTACAATCGAGTTCTGTTTATTTTCATATTAGGTGAATAAAAGCACATGTAAATGTTTGTGTAGGATGTTTATATATGGCTGTTATAACAGTAACAGGTGAAAATGTTTCAGTTTATATTGAGGGAAAGTTGATTTTATATTCGCACATTGGTTCAGTGACAACTTGTGACACGCTCACTATGTTGTTTACCATGGTACTTTGAATATTCGGTCTTAAATCTTATGCAAGTATGACTTCAAAACTACATTAGCACAGTTTATTTGGCTATTATCTACCTATTCATTTACTTCGATGGTCATTGACAGCTTATATGATTTCCCTATTTAGAATTTACGAATAATACTTTTCTGAAATGATATTATTAAGAAGAAAGCCTGAATGTGTGCATATATAACATTATTTAAGACATTTAAAGGCCTAACTAGGGTAATTAGGCAAGTCATTGTATAACAGTGGTTTGTTCTGCAGACTATCCAAAACTAATATTGCTGAAGGGGGCTAATGATATTGACCCTAAAATAGTTTAACATTTTTTTTTTAAACTGCTTTTATTGAAATAAAACAAACAAGACTTTCTCCAGAAGAAAATATATTATCAGACATACTGTGAAAATTTCCTTGCTCTGTTAGACATAATTTGGGAAATATTTATATGTAAAAAAAAATTCACAGGAGGGCGAATAATTTTAACTGTATATCGGTTTGAATAATCGTGATTATAATTATGACAAATAATCGTGATTATGATTTTTCCCATAAATGTGCAGCCCTACTTTCTGCGATAGTGTCGCAGGCATGATATCCATTGTTATGAACTACGCCACATTACACAAGGAGAAACGATTGAATCTTGTGTCACAATGCCTATTTGTTGTTTATGAAACCCCACAACACTCTACGTCAAGGAAACCGTGCTGGAATTGTGTGACAAATTGATGTGATCTGACCGGTGTGAATGTGCAGGTGGTTGGTGTGGTGTGCAGTGATCATGCCGTCCAGTCTGGGCTCCAGCAGTCCAGCAGCAGTCCTTCAGGAGGCTCTGGAAAACTCCAGTCGCTTGATCGACCGTCATTTACAGGAGGATCGCTGTTTCCCAGACCTGTCTGAGCTCCTCAATGTCCCGTCACACAGTAAGTTCATCATAAACTGCATCTTTTTAATACATAATTAACACTCATGACTGGGTTACCACAAAATCAACACTGACCGTTGTTGATACAGTGTTTAGGTCGCAGATGTAAAGGCTTTTAAATGCCATAATAGCAATACCAAAGTAATAATGATTAGGGATGCTCCGATTCTGTGATCAGATATCGACTTTGGTACCGAATTTTTTTAAGGATAGTTCACCCAAAAAAGGAAATTGTATTCACTATTTGCTCACCCTTAACCTGTTGAACACAAAAGAAGATATTTTGAAAAATGTTGAAAACCTGTAACAATTGACTTCCATGGTAGGAAAAACAAATACTATGGACTTGAATGGTTACAGGTTTGCAGCTTTCTTTGCAATATCTTCTTATGTGTTTAACAGAAGAAAGAAACTCCTGCAGATTTGAAACCAGTAAATGCTGAATCCTCTTCACTCACAAAGTACCTGATATTTAATAATAATAATAGGTTGACATATCCAAAATGAAGTAATATCGTCTCTGAAAATATTTGATTAAATTAAAGTTAATTAAATAAATCTTTACTAAAATGCAAATCATCTCTGCGAGCAAAAGTAGACCAGCTTCAGTGTGATCGGGAAACATGACTGGCAGCATTTTGATGAACGTCTCTTTTTAGATTAAATCTATTAAGCTGTCTCAGAAGTGTGTTTCAAGTGTGCTTCAGATTTATCTACACCTGCTCTTAGCTTTTTGTCTCGCATCACATCGCTGACATGCAGGAGGTTTTTATCTGACTGGATCTGATGAAGAAATTGTCTGATTTTCGCTTCGTCTTTATTTGTTGATTGAAAATGTCAGTAGCTTTTCTATGGAGATAGATTTGTTTCTTTATTATTCAATCAAATATATTTAGTTTTAAAGAAAAATTAAGTATGTAGCAATTAAAGAATTAAAGATTTCCAATAAAAAACATGTTTAATTTGAAAACTTATGTCAATGATAATAAAATATTTTGGATTGCAAAAAATAAACAATTGTCCTATTATGCAGTTACCACAATTTTCATTGCACACTCATTAATATTGCTCTCTTTTCTGCTGTCTTTTATTGCACATCTAGAATCTTTGCTTGCAGGTTGAAATGTTTTACTTGTGAGTTGAAAGGTTTTGAACCCATGAATGCATAACATAATCAGATGTGAAATGTGGATGGTAATACACAAGTTATTATACAGTTTCAGTTAACTTACCTTAAAGAAGACCTGCTGCTAGCCATTAGCTCGCTCCTGTCACAGAAGGCAATTTTAACCGCGCGAAAATGTAATGGGCGTGGCCAACCTGTGACCTCAATCAAGATGACCAATAGAATAAGGTGTTTTATAAGATCCCGCCCACTGAGCTGCAGTTTTCAACTCGCAAAACTTTTCAACTCAAAAGCAAAGATTTTAGATCCGCAAAAATGAAACAAAACCGAAAGCAAAATGAATGAGCACACAATGAATTAATCTGGTGGTAACTGCATAAAATGGCAATAGTTTATTTTTTGCAGTGTGATTTTTTTTTTTTTTAAATAAATGTTTTTTTTATTATTTGAAATCTTTTATT